TGATGGGAAAGACACCCAACATGATCATCTCAACTGCTAAAAAAAAAAAAATGTTTGACAAAATCCAATCCCCTTTCATGATCAAAAAGACTCAAAACTAGGAATAAAAGAGAACTTCCAGAACATGATAAAGTCCATATAAGGAAAACATATGGGCACCATCATACTCAATGGTGGAAGACTGGAAGTGTTCTACCCTAAGATCAGGCATAAGACAAGGCTGCACACTTTTACCTCTTCATACTAGCCAGAGTGCTCAGACAAATAAGAAGGAACAAGGTTTTCAAGTAGGAAGCAAAAAGTAAAATGATCTCTACTTGCAGGCAATATGATTTTGTTTCTGTGTAGAAAGTCCTTAAGAGCACACACATATACACACAAGAGTTTTAAAAACTCAGTACAATTACAGGATACAAACTCAGCACTCAAACATCAGTTGTATTTCTGTGGACTAGTGATGAATAATCCACAAATGAAATTAAGAAAACACTTCCATTACAAAATCAAAAAATACCTGGGAATAAATTTAACCAGGGCGGTATGACACTTACACAATGAACATTATAAAACACTACCTTAAGGAGATTAAAGAGCTAAATAAATGGAAATACATTCCATGTTATTGGATTGCAAAGACTTAATGCTGCTAAGATGACGGTACTTCCAGCATTTCATTCTTTTCTTTCTTTTTTTGCAGTACCACTTGAGCCATGCGCCCAGCTCTTTTTGCTTTAGTTATTTTTCAGGTAAGTTCTCATACTTTTTGCCTAGGTTTGCTTGGACCACAATCCTCCTACTTACACCTCCCATGTAGCTGGGATGAGAGTTGCTTGCCATCACATCCAGCTTTTTTGTTGATATGGGGGTCTCAATTACTTTTTGCTTCAGCTGGCCTCAGACTACAATCCTCCCATTTTCCACTTCTCAGGTAGCTGGGATTACAGCTATGAACCACTGTGCCCAGCCCCTCAGCATTTCACTCCTTTGGATGCTACCATTTGAGAAATGTTCATTTTAATGTATAGACATGTAACTGATTTTTGTTGCTTTTGTATCCTGTAACTTTGCCAAGATAACTTATTGTTTTAATAGTTCATTTTGAGTGTGTCTTTTGGGATTTCCTGTGCAGAACATCATGTCATCTACAAATAGACTTCTTCCTTTATCATGTGTGACTTGTTGCCTAGTTGCTGTAGCTGTAACTTCCATTACAATGTCCAAGCAGTGAGAAAGAGCAACTTGTGTGCCAGTTTACAGCTGGTGAGGGCTCTATTTCTGGAGGGGGGCAGGGCTGAGAGATTGATTTTGTCTTTTCTTATAAGGACACTAATGCTGTCAGACTAGGGCTCCACCCATTTGACCTCATTTAACCTTAATTACTCTCATAAAGACTATCTCTTATTACAAACACACTGATGGTCAGGCTTCAGCATATGAACTGGGGGAGGAGAGGTTCATAGCACTCATCTTTAATTTTTTCAGAATTTTGGAAGAATTGGTGTTAATGCGTCTTCAAATGTTGGTTGAATTTATCAGTGAGGCCATCTGGTCCTGGGTTTTCTTTTTGTTAGAGTTTTAGATAATTGATTCAATCTCTTTCCTTTTTATAGATCTATTCAAATCTTCTCTTTATTCTCGAGTCAGTTTTGGTAGTTTATTTCTGGGGATTTGTACATTCTGCCTGGGTTATCTAATCTGTTGATATATAATTGTTTAGTATTTTCTTATAATTTCTTTTGACTCTGTAAAGTCAGTAGAAATGTCCCCACTCTTTTCTCATTTTAGTAATTTGAGTCTTCTGTCATCTTTTCTTGGTTAGCATAGCTAATTTGTCAATTTTGTCAGTTTTCTCAATGAACCGACTTTGGAGTTCATAGGTTTTTCCTCTACTATGTATATATGTATATATGTGTGTATATATATATATACACACACATACATACATATACATATATATATATTGATGGCACTGGGGCTTGAACTCAGGGCTTTGTGCTTGCCAGGTAGTGCTCTACCATTCAAGTCATTCCGCAGCCCTAGGTTCCTTTTTCAGATGGGGTTGCATGCTCTTGACCTGGGCTTCCTTGGCCCTCAAGAGCTTTGCTGTGCCTCTCACACACCAGTAGGCTTTGTAAGTGGACTACTACCCATAATGTCAGTAGCCATGTTCAACCAGTTGGAGGCCTTAAGAGAGAAGAACAAGGTCTCAGAGAAGAGTAAATTCTGCTTTTGAATTTGAGACTGCAACATCCGCTCTTTCCTGGTCTTCAGCTTACACCTGCCTGGCAGGGTTTAGACTTGCCAGATCCCACAACTATGGGAACCAGTTCTGAAAATTAATCAGTAGTGCAGTCTCTGCTTGTTGGTCTCCTTTTATCTATAGTCTCCCACTGTTTCTCTAGAGAACCCTAACCCACCTCAATTTATATCACATGCTCTAACCAGTTACTGTTTTAATCTCCTAGTAAACTTTGCTCATAGACCAGGCACGGACGGGGCAGCCTGCATCCTTGTAGGTCAGCAGCAGTGAGGAGGCTGGGTTAACAAGGCAGAGTTCAAGTCTGATTAGGCCCAAACATCATTGTATTACTTCACATGATCACCTAAGGAGGAGTACTTTCCTGCACGTGCAGGGCACAAGCAATCACGGGATGGATGGCTGACGTCTGGTGTCAAAGGAAAAGCCCTTCGCTCTCTTGGATAGTGTTCTCATACTCAAATAGGAATGCTGTGACAGTGATGGTTAATGAAGTAGCATGCTGGGACAATGCCCGGCATATTTAATAGATGGTAGCATCCATTATTGGTTGTCACAGCAGTTAGCCAATCTGACTGTATTTGAGTAGGCTCAAATAGTTCCACCCAAGGACTAGGGGGGCAGCTTGGCTACCCAGCAACACTTGGATTCAGATCAATGGAGATGAATGAACCAAGTCAAGGCCAACAGAACTCTCTGGGTGCTCCTCCCAGGCAACCAATCCAAATGAGAAACAAAGTCAATTTTTATTGTAAGTTTCAGGGTTCCACTCCTCAGTCTCTGGTCACTAAGTAGAGACAGTCTGAAAGGCAAGCAGGGCTTCCCTGGCTCATGAAAAGCCTATGACACAGAAGACCTGGTCACTATGGTTTCCTCTCGAAGAGGAAGTGGGTGGCAGAGGGGCCCAAATGGGAGACTTCCTCCTCCCTGGCAGCTCCTGTGGCCCTCGCCCCACAAGCTCCCCACCATGCAGCAGGGCCTCCCACATGGGCCTCTCAAGGACCTCCATCCTGCTGCCCAGCCGCAGCAAGCTAGGACATGGCACTCTGCTGCTGTTGTGTACCTGGCCCGGACACCTGCTATGCCTTCCTATTCTCAAAGGGGCAGCTCCTCCAGGCCCTCCACTCTGCTAAGCCCTGTGCTGGCAGGTGTCAGGCTCTACCCACACCTGGGGTTGGACTCCTTCCACTGCTCATCTTCATACTCCACCAGAGCTAATGAACACAAGTCTCTGGGTTGGGAGGGTCCCAGCCTCATCACATGATGTCTCTTTTCACTCACTTCTCTTCTGTAAATTTGACTTTCTTCATGAAAGAGGACACAGAGGTCAATGCTCACTGATCAGTCACCCAGGGAAAATTTCCTACTGAAAAGAGCTGAAGAGTGCACTTCCTCCCAGGGTTAGAGCAGGGCCCATCCTCCACTTGGTAGAGCTACTGTGGCAACGGGGAGCACCACATGGAAGCGCTCAAGGCCACTCAGAAAGTGCTGTACTTGTTCCAAAGTGAAACTACACGGTGACTTCCTCCACTGATGTTTATATGGAAGACAGTGAGAAACCACACACAGCAGTCTGGAAAAAGAAAGGACCTTTGCTGTAGCAGCTTCTCCAGCCCAGTTAAGTCCAGTTCCTGACACAGATTAGTTCCTCTAATAGGCCACTAGTGGCACTGTTCCCAAAGCTCTTCAAGATATGGCCGTCAACGTGGCATTCTCTATGCCCATCCCTTCATGAAGATTGGTTTCCCCATTCTAGGGACAGATCTGAAAAGCAAGGACACGCTCCCCAACTTAGCAGCTCTGTTAATCTGAAAACTTGGTGGTGGGGACACTTTTTTTCCCAAGCTGTTACCTCATTAGTGAAATGAGGTGGGTGGGCACTGCCAGAAGCAGAGCCTCTGTGGCTTCTGTACACACAAGGCCCAGGCCTGCTCCAGCAAGCCCTGAGTCTGTTGTTTTCTGAGGAGTGCTAAAAACCCAAATAAGTTACTAACCTTAATTTTGCGCTAAGCCAATTATTTATTCCATATTAAAACACAAACAGGCAGAAGGCAAAGGTTTAAGCGTTTGTATGCAGGAGAAAGTGTACAACTAGTACTTCCTGAATATTGTTACCACTGCCACTGTGAGCTCAGTGGGAGGTCTGATTAGCCACCTCTGGGCCCCAGAGTTCTCTGGGATCATTGTTGAGTAACCTCTAAGGAAGAAGGAAAAGGTTTGGGGACATGGCTCAAGTGGTAGAGCACTTGCCTAGCAAGCAGAAGCCTCTGAGTTCAAGTCCCAGTATTGCCACACACACACACACACACACACAAAAGAGAGACAAAGAGTGTTAAACTCAAAACTCCAAGTGAGACAATTCTTAGACCCGTGACAGTGACAAGGGTGCCACTACTCACTTGAGATGCTGCACCCATCCCTGGCACATCGCTTACCCAAAGCATGCGGCGGTACATCCTGACTCTCGCAAAGGAAGCAAAGCCACACTCAGATGTAGCCTGCAACTCTTGTCCCTGCTTCCAACTTCTCTCCTGCCTCAGCCAAGTGACTTCACATCATCAACTTTCAGGACCTCTGAGCAATCGTCAGAGCAAGGAATAATATACTTGAGAGGTTCTGTGACCCCAAGGAGTTGCAGGAGAGAAAACATAACAAGCTGACGAACATTTACACATCCACAGCACATATATTCAGCTTCCATTTTATTTTAGTTATAAAACAATTGCTAAAACACAAAGTTTTAAAAAACACACAAAACACAAAGTTTTATTCCTTGTTTTGTTGCAGAAAATAAATATGACCACATAGTCCATATGCTCGTCTTGACAAGCATTTCTGAAAACATCATTTACTGGAACAACCGTATATTCCTTTTGGCCTTCTGACTGCAGGTGTTAGACGTAGATCATTTCATTAATCCATCCAAACACTTGGCTCAAGCAACTCTGGAAAAAGGCTATGAGCTTAAAAATCTTACTCCAAGTGCGATTTAAAAAATAGTTAAACTAAAATCAATCAGGTCTTAACTTATTTATTTAAGAGGAGAATAAAGTTTTTCTTTTATAAAAAATGCCCCAATTTCACAAATACCCAAACTGACATAAAAAGTTGGTCTGTCTTCCTAGGAATCAGCAAGAAGAGAGGGTCGGGGAAAGGGAAGGAAAGAAACACATTGGCTCCTGTCAAGTATATCCAGTTGGGCACGACCCTCAGCCCGCCTGCCCAGGCTTCCAGTTTGGCCCTTGGCAGTTTTACAAAAAGAAAGCTGTTTAGTCATCTAAGCCTATATTTCTGAAAAGGTAGGACATAGACTCCCCATTGTGAATGCGACGGATGGCTTCTGAAAGGATCATGCTGATGTCCACAGTTTTGATCTTGGGGCACTGAAGCTTCTGGATTTCATGTGGGATTGTATTGGTCACCACCACCTGTGAATCATGAGAAACAACCAAGAGCATCAGACGCCAAGCAGGTTCAGAGCTGGGGGTGTGGCTCATGACAGAGGACTTGCCCAGCATGTGTGAGGCCCTGGGTTCCATCCCCAGTGAAAGAAGAAAGGAAAGCAAGCAAGCAAGAAAGCCATACCTTGCTCTGAAAATGTGATGTGGTTCTATTTGGCATGACAGGGCTAGTCTAACTTACCTTCAACAAGGTCCCCATCATTGAGAAGTTACCTGTGTTTCTACCTCACACCCATTAGGACAATTATATCCAAAAAAGACAGGGATAGCCAATGTTGGGGAGGATGAGGAGAAACTGGAATCCCTGCTCACTGCTGGTGGGGCTGTGAAACTCTGCAGCTACTCTGGAAAAAGAGTCTGGCAATCTCTCAAAGTTTACAGATTTACCATAAAAGCCAGCAATCTTACTCTCACCCCAGGGTACTGAAAAAGCACATCCACACAAAAACTTACACATGACTGTTCATGGCAGTCAAAACTTGGAAACTCAAGTTTCCAACAACTTATGAAGAGACAGACAAAATGTTGCACAGCTGTACAACAGAATATAATTCAGTCATAAAAGGAAACAAAGTATTGGTCCATACTACAACATGGATGAAACCTGAAATAAGTCAGTCACAGAAGACCACTTGTTGTATGATCTCCTTTATATGAAGCGTGCAGGTTAGGCAAATCTATAGGGACAGAAAGTAGATGAGCGGTTCCCAGGGTGGTTGAGAGGAAATGTGAAGTGACTGCTGATGGGTAGAGGGTTTCTTTATGGACAGATGTTCTTTAATCAACTGTAATCATTACACAATTTTGAATATTCTAATAACCACTGACTTGTATACTTTAAGTGGATGAATTATATGGTATGAGAATTATATCTCAATAAAGCTATTTTTCAAAAGTGGCAGAGCTAGAAGCTTATATGCAATGAAATGCAAATACAACCACATTTTGATTCTATTCTTAACCACAAACAAGTTCATTCTTATACCTGTTCTCTGAAATGAGGGACTTGGACAAGCAATGCCTGGGCAACACCACCCACACACCACCAGGCCCACTACCTCATCAATGGCAGACTCCTCAATTAGCCGGGGAGCATCAGAAGATAACAAGCCATGAGTTGCCATCACAAAGATCTTATACGCGCCCCTTTCCTTCAGGGTCTCTGCTGCAGCAAGAAAGCTGTCAACGTCATCGATGATGTCATCCTGTCAAATCACAAGGAGCAAAAGGCACATGAACACTTGTAAAGACAGACTAAACAACCAGGAAAAGAAGGGTCTGCCTAAATGCATCTTGATACATGCAGACAGCATGGTGGCATGTTCCTGTCACTGGCCCCAGCGTCTGTCGAGGCCTCTCCTATGAGTCACCTCCTGCCCTTCCACTTGCAGGACAGGCTCCCGCCAGGCCGGAGGCTTCCTGGGGAAAGCCATTCCACCCTCTGAGCATGCCTGGTGGGCCAGAACTGAGCCCTCCAAGGCACATGCTCCAGGCTCGTCTGAGGGTTCTAGAGGCTTTGGCTGGGTAATGGAATTGGCTTTCTGCTAGCTTTTTCTTGCAACTTTTCCTTATTTTCCATATTTTCTCCACTGAGCATATGGGAAATATGCTTCTGACATATGTCCTTACAATGGGAAAAAATTACTCATTTTTTTCTTTTTTTTGAGACAGGGTCTTGCTATATTGCCCAGGGTGGTCTTGAACTCCTAGGCTCAAGTGATCCTCCTGCCCCAGCCTCCTCAGTAGGTGGGACAACAGCTAATTATTATTTTTAATAATAAGATACCTTACCTGATACTTCCAAGATTACCAGACTCACAGAGTTCTTTTAAACCCATTCTGGTATAAAGCACTGTCTAGAATTGAATTTGCCTAACATTGATCTTTTATAGTATTAATACTATGATTAACACACACACACACACACAGAGACAGGCATGGTGGCTCAAGTCTGTAATACTAGCTATATGAGAGGTGGAAATCAGGAGGATCGAGGTTTGAGGCCAGCCTGGGCAAAAAAGACCCTATCTGAACAATGGTGGTGGCACGTGTCTGTCATGTCATGTGGGGAAACACAAATAGGAGGATCACAGTCCAGGCGAGCTGGGACATAAAACAAGACCCTAGCTCAAAAATAAGCAACACAAAAAAGGGCTGGTAGAGTAGTACAAATGGGAGGCCCTGAGTTCAACCTCCAGTACTGTGAAAACAAAAAACAATAAGAAAAAAACTTCAAACAACAACAACCAAAAAAAACATATATATACACACATATTACTTAAAATGTGCTACTGGTAAAGTGGTATAGCCACTCTGGAAAAGTCTGACAGTTTCTTCTGGGGAGTGGGCAGTGTTGGTGATCAAACTTAGCAGTTTGGCAGGGTTTTTTTGTTTTGTTTTTGTGGTACTGGGACTGAACCTAGGGCCTCAAACACTTTGTCACTTGAGCTACCCCAACCCCAGCCCTATTGTTTTTGTTTTTTTGAGGTAAGATTTTTCTCACTTTGTCTGGGCTGGCCTTGAATTTGCAATCCTCTACTTCCTGAGTAGCTGGGACTACAGGCATTAACTACCATGCTGGCTTTCAGTTTCTTATGCAACCACCATGCAAATCAACAAGTGCCCGTGGGCACTACCCAGAGAAATTAAAACTGTTCACAAAGTCCATACATAGAAGTGCACAGCAGTTTCACTTATAATAGGTGAAAACTGGAAACAACTCAGATGCCTTCTGAACAACAGTTAACAGGTGCTGGAATTATGCTAAATAAAAAATTAACCTCAAAAGGTTAAAAACTATATGTTCTATGTACATAACATTCTGTATTTTTCTGGAGGTACTGGGGATTGAACTCAGAGCCTTTCATATGCTAGGCAAGCATTCTACCACTTGAGGAAAGCCCTCCAGCCCTATGACATTCTTGAAATAAGAATTATAGAGATTGAGGAAGATAAGTGGCTGCCAGGAGTTAGTGACTGGGTGGGGAGCAAACAGGCTAGTTCTGCACCTTGACCACAGCGATGGCTATACACACACACACACAGTACATGTAACTGCTACTATCCAAAGAAATGATGTTCACTCTGCAGTACCACACACACACAAAATGAGAATCAAAAAGTAATAAAAGAACACTGTTAACTCTTGGTTGTATTACTGCATCAGTTAAGCACATGCAGGACCACCCTGTACATTTTTCTACTACTTCCTGTGAATCGGTAACTATTTCAAAATAAAAAGGTTTGTTAGTTTGTTTTTAACACACACACACACACACACACACACACACACACACACACACACAATTGGAATAGAAAGGAGAAGAAATTGCTACTGTACCTATAACACCTTGTTTTTACAGCCAGTTTCTTGAAAAAGGTGCCAATAAAAATCAATCAAGCACTGGGGAAAGCAGGGGCACCACTAGGGAAACTGTGGTTGGGAAACTGTTGGGACCACTTTGGAAACACTTGGCAGGACCTAGTTAAGTTGCAAACGTGTGGATCTTCAGACCCAACAACTCCACCCCAAGCACCTAGAAATTCTCACAGGGATGCACCAGAAAACAGACACGAAGGAGGATGTTCAAAGTGGCATTAGTTGGAATTAGGAAAAACTGTATGTCTGGAGAATAGCTGTGTAACAGTTACAACATGGAACACCATCTAACAGTGAGAAAGAATAAAGGGCAATCACAAGTCACCACCCAGGTAAATCTTAGTAACAATGTTGAAGAAAGGGAACAAACTACACAGATACATCATTTCTATAAACACTGAAGTCACACAGCACTCACTGTAGACTGTAAAGATAAGTAAGGGTGTGAACCTACAACTCTCAGGCTGGCAACAACTTCTGTTGGAGAGGGAGAAGGAAGAGACCAGGGAAAACCTGGGAAGGCCTCTGGAGCACCTGGCCACCCACTCTCTCTCCAGAGAGTAGTGAACTTCCCAGGTGCTCATCCATTCGTCTTAATTAAAGAGATAGTGTGTGTACTGTGTGTGTGCACTGGTTTTATGAAGTGTGAAATGATTCGTGTCTTTTGTTTTGTTCTGGTGCTGGGGATTGAACTCAGGGCTTCACTGAGCTACATCCCTAGTCTTCAGTATGTGTTTTGAAATGGTTATAATCAACTCTGTACACTACTTTTATCATAAAACAATTGCCCACAATATGATTAACAAACAGCTGCATAATAACCTACTAATTATCAAATTTGAACAAACTACTAGCATTTTTCAATACGTGGGTCAAAGCAAACATTTAGCACAAGGGACCAACTTTCAGGAGACTTACCTGGTCATACACTGTCCCTAGGCCTTTCTATGCACACAATTTACAAATAAGTCAACAGAATAAAAGAGGCCTACATACCACAATGATGGCGATCCTTCCTCCAACATCACCAACCACTGTGATTGGGGGCTTTTCTTTAGGAATCAGCACTGGTCAGAATAAAACACACACATTTGAGTGTCTATGCTAAAGTAAAAACAAAGACTTTACAAAGTTAATGTCTCTTGATGAAAAACTCCCAAAAAGCTAGGAAGCGAAAGGACCTCCTCAACCAATAAAGGGCAGTTATGAAAACCCACAGCTAACGTGATGCTCAATGGTGAGAGACTGAAACCAAATGAGACAAGGATGCCTGCTTGCACCTTGTGTGGCAATGCGTATGTAAACCAAGCAATTAGGCAGAAAAAGAATAATAAAAAACATCTAGATTGGAAAGGAAGAAGTAAAATTCTTCTGGCAGACGATGTGATCCTACATATAGAAAATTCCAAAAAACTCCCAAAGCTAACACATGAATTCAGTAAAATTGCACAGAAACTGATGAATAGACAAAATCAGTTTTATTTCTACACACTAGAAACAAACAATACAAATGCAAATTAAGAGAGCAATTCCACTTACACAAACATCTGAACCAAAAAAGATGAAAAACTCCTGAAAATGACAAAACATGAGAGGAAGGAAAGAAAACAAATTCCTTCAACATTACACCAAAAGAAAAGCAACAAAAGAGAAAAAAAAAAGAACTGGACTCCATCAAAATTAAAACTTTTTGTGAAGAAAATGAAAAGACAACCCATAGAATAAGAAAAAGTATGTACAAATCACGTATCTGGTATCTAGTATTCAAAATATAGCGGAAAAAAATCACTTATAACTCAATAAAAATAACCCAATTGTTAAAAGTCTATGAATAGATATTTTTCCAAAGAAGCATATACAAATAGCCAATAAGCATATGAAAAGATACTCAACATTTTACTCATTAGGGAAATGCAAATTTTGATTTGCACAATGTTTAATACCCATGGGATTGCTAGACTTTTAAAAACAGTCAGAAGTACTAGAGAATCTGGAATCCTTTCTCAAAGTTAAACACAGAACTACCATGTGACCAAGCAATCCCGCTCCTGGGTATATACCAAGAGAAATGAAATCACATGTCCACACAGAAACTTGTACACGGGTGCACACAGCAGCATTATACCCAAAAGGTAGTAAAATCTAAGTTACTGTCAACTGATGATGGATAAGGAGTGATGTACTCTTGCAATGGAACACCAGGGCCCTGGGAGCAGAACAACTTCAAGGCTCTGCTTCCTACATTCTGGTGCAGTGCTCCTTGGATGCCCCAGCTGAGGCTCAAGCCACGCTTCTGGAAGGCACAGCAGCATCTCTGTGCAGTACCATCTCAATGAAACACAGAGCAAATGAGTTGTTGGGACAGGGTTATCACATCCTAGGCGTCACAGGAAAACTCTGAGAGCCTTCAGGCCCTGGCAGAGAACACAGGAAAGCCCCCTATAGGCAATACCCTGCAGAGCCATGGGGACAGGGATACCCGAGACTCCTGATTGGTAGAGCCACCTGTTTGCAACTCCAGCCTGAGAGATTTAATGCTGTCTTCCCCACTGGGTTTTGACTATGTTAGTTCCTATAGCTCCTTTCTTTTTGCCTATTTCTCCACTTTAGAAGGGGAATGTCTGGCCTGTGCCTGTCCAATCTTTACATTTTGGAAAGTACATAGCTTATTTGATTTCACAGAGCAGAGGGAGAGAAATTAAAGCAAGAGAGAAATCTGCTTTAAAATGACTTCTACCTTGGGCCCCAACCATATGTGATTTAGATGAGACTATGAACTTTTGAGTTGATGCTAGAACTAAGTAAAAGCCTTCTGGGGCTATGGGATGGAAGAAATATGTTCTGCATGTGAAATTAACAGGAATTTTGGAGCCAAAGGTGAAACCCTATGATCTGAATGTTTGTATCCCTCCTAATTCATGCTGAAACTCATTGTGGTGGTATTGAGAAATGAGGCCTTTAGGAGGTAATTAAGTGCCTTGACAAAAGGCTTGAGGGAGCCTCTATCATGTGAGGAATAGGCTCACACTGCTGCTGTTGGCACTGTAACCTTGAACTCCCAGCCTCCTGAACTATGAGCAATAAATTTCTGTTGTTTCTAAATTACTCAGTCGAAGGTATTTTGTCACACAGTGGCCTGAGGAAAGACAGACAGGAATACAGTCTTGTATTCTACCTTTATTGACATTCCACAGATTTTTCTCCTGTTTCCAGACAGTCCTGATTATTTCACAGGACTGCATAATTAGCTGTACTTACACAACATAATTTAATCAGGCCTTCCTCTCTGCTAAACCATTTAAACCTGTTCAGTATTTTGAATATAACATAATGGTGAAGGACTTTGTGTATAAAATAGCTTTTTGCTTATGCTAAAGTACACCCTGGGATAGACAGCTGAACAAGTAAATGAACTTCCCTGAAGTGCTACATCTGAGTCTAAACAGTTTGAACATCTTCCTAGGTCTTACAATGACAGACCAGACTGCTTCTAAAGAGCTCTACCACTCATAGGTCAGCAGGAGTGCATTTGTTAGAATGGGGAAGAAAAGGTATTAGACTAGTTTTTGCCAATTCAAAAAACAAACCAAAAAGAGAGAGCTCATGTTTTTTTAAAAAAAAAAAAAAAAACCACAATTTAGTCAGTCTTACAATCAGAGGACAGCGGCACACTTACTGGGGATCTCCAGGCTGGGGTGGATGGCAGCTACATTCCTGACCATGGGTGGGGAGTGCCGACCATCCACCAAGTCTGACTCGGCATCCTGTGCTTCTCCGTGAATCACAGCGATTCCTAGGCGCAGGCGCTCTGCGAAAGACTGTGCCCTAAAGAGGAAGCATGAAACACAAATCAATACTCAAGCAGCACCTGGGGTCTGCTCATGTATAGGGAGACAACATTAAGAGGACACAAATAAAATGTTGTTTTTGAAGGAATAATGAAAAGAGAATCTTAGAACCCAAGGCCAAGCATGGCAAGCACATATGACAGATGCTGCCCTCTGGCCATGGGCACCAATGATGACCAGCAGCCTGGTCTGGTCTGCAATTAGCCAGCTGAGAGCCTGAGCACGGCAGGAGCCTCCTCTCAGCCTGTTTCATCTCCTGTAATTGCTCACTCTAACTGCCCACCTGTGTGAACCAACCACACAAGACAAAGTGCATTAAGTATTTGTTGAAGTGTTACACAGAGTATTCTTGTGCCCTCTGTATTTCTCCTATCAGGCCTAGGCAACCATTGATCTGCCTTCTATCACCATTTTTAACCATTTTTAGAAATTCATGGAAGTGGAACCATAATATGTATTTTTTTTTTGTCTGACTTCCTTCACTCAAGACGTTTTGGACATTCACCCATGTTATACCAAGAGTTCAGTCTTTTCATTGCTGAGTAATATTCCATTGTATGACTATAACACAGTTTAACCATTGTCTTGTCAGACTGTTGAGGTTTTTTTTTGTTTTTTTGTTTTAAGCATATAAAGCTGCTATGGACATTCATGTACAGACAGATCTCTGCATGGCATATGCTTTCTTTTGTCCTGGGTAAATACCTAAGAGTGGAATGGCTGGATCATATAGTAGGGATCTATTCACCTCTTTAAAATATAGCCAGACTGTTCTCCAGGTTCTAGACAGTACTGATTAAACAAAAACAAACAAACAAAAAAGGAATGCAATTATAGAAAGGAGTATGTAAAACAGATCTAATTTGCATATATGGTTTGATGGAATCCAAAAACATCAGTTTAGCAAGGTTGCAGGATTCAAGACCAACATACAAACAACTGGAAATAAAGTGAAAAAGAACATACAAACAGGAAAGTAAATGACACACATAGGAATAAATCTATGAAAAGATCTTTACACTTTACACTGAAAACTAGAAAACGCTGCTGAGAGAAATTAATGACCTCAACTGATGGAGATACTGTGCTCACACTATAAGATGTAATATCTCCCTAAATTGGCATATATCATCAACACCATCCCAAAGTTTCAGCAGACATCTTTGTAGAAATGAAAAAGCAGATTAAAACATTCATATGGAAATACGAAGAATGTAGAACAGCAAAACAACTTTGTAAAAGAAGAAAGTGGCAGATTGAATACTATCCAAATGCAACATTTGGTTCTTGGTTTGCTTAAAGTTTTCATCAGGAATAGAAGTTGGATTGTGTCAAAAGTCTACTGGGAATCATAAGTTTTTTTTTTTGTTGTTGTTGTTGTTTTTGTTTTTTTAGCTCATTAACATGGTGACTTACATTTAAAAAAAAAAATATGTTAAACCAACTTTGCACTCCAGGGACAAACTCCAAATGGTCATGATATACTAACCTTTTACATATTGTTGGATTCAGTTTGCTAAAATGTTGCTCCGAAATTTTACACCTATGTTCATTATGGATATAGGTCTGTAGTTTTCTTTTCTTGTATGTCTGTGTCTGGTCCGACTATCAGGGTAATGATGGCTTCGTGGAGTGAGTTGGAAAGTATTTTTTAACTGTCTGGAAGAGTTAATGTAGAATTAGCATTACCTCCTCCTTAAATGTTTGACAGAAATTACCATTAGAAGATGGGTTCACAGAATTTGCGGGGATGCCACATCTCTCATCCCTCATGTTTATAATTTGTGTCTTTTTTTCCTGTCCAGTCTGGATAAAGGCTTATCAACGTTATTGATTTCCCCAAAGTTCTCATTGTTCCCTGCTTTTCTGTTTTTTGTTTGTTTGTTTGTCTGTCTACTTTCTATTTTACTGATTTCTGTTTCCTATGCTTACTTTGGTTTTGATTTGCTGTCCTCTTTCTGGTACCTTACGTATGGTGGAAGCTGAGATCACTGATTTGAGATCTGTCTTCTTTTCTAATAAAGGTGCTTACAGCTCTTTATATCTCTCCCTGGCAATCTGTTTTAGTGGTACATCACAAATTTTCATTTTCATTCTCTTCTAAGTGCTTTCTAACTTCCCTTCTCATTTCTTCTTTGACCCATGGGTTATCTACAATTGTGTTATTTAGTTACTGTATATTCAGGATTTATACTTGTTATTGGAATTAGTCTTAATTCCAATGTGGTCAGAGAATACCTTCTGCATGACTTAAGTCATTTTAAATTTGAGACTTGTTTTATTGCCTAGAATATCTTAATAAATGAATGTGTATACATTTGCATATGCACATATACACGGGATATTTTGCTGTCCTTGGATGGAGTGTTCTAACCTGTTGATTAGCCCTGGGTGGTGGACAGTACAGTTCAAGCCCTCTGCAGTGTTAACTGAGTTTTTGTCTACTTGTTCTACACATTACTAACAATGGAATAATGGATCAATGCCTACTATTATCAATTTCTCCTTATGACAAAACCCTCCTTACAAGGGTTTGCTTCATACATTTTGAAATTGTTATTCAGTTTACACTGTTTAGTATTATCAAACCTTATTGAAGAACTGACCCTTTTATAATTATGAAAGCACTTTTTTTATCCCTGGCAATTCTGTTTGTTCTGGTTTGTCTGATAGTCATATAACCACTCCACCTTTTTTTTAAAGTACTAGTTTTACCAAGGCATATCACTATTCTGTCGTTTTACTTTAAACCTATTCCTTCCTCCTCACCTTGCTTCATTAATTCATTAGGTCCATCTCCCCCATGGGCCACATTCCTGAGTGGGACACTGGGTCCCCACTGTTTTCCATCCTCAGCACCTAATGTACAGTAAATGTCAAGTGCTTGAGGTACCCAACAAGTTCTCCCAATCTTGGTTTTCTTACACCAAAAATTCCAAACAAGTTCCCCCTTGGGAGCTAAAAACAAACAAGAAGCAATAAGGACAGTACCGAATCCCATCAGCACTATCTATACTGGACACAACCAATACATTTGAAAGACATATTGGGCCCTTGAACACATGAATACTGTTCCCTAGAGGGATGGAATTCATGCCTCTGTCAGGTTTTCTATATGCGCTCTACAATTAAGGAAAGCTTTGCTATAGACTAGTAAAAAACTGTATTTTGCCTATTTCAGCAGAGTGTGACATTATTACTATAGCACAATAGTTTAACTCTGCTGTTGACACTAAAAACGTAAGATCAAATTGGGTGCAGTGGCTCATACATACCTGTAATCCCCACTACATTGGGAGGTAGAAAAAGGAGAACAGAGCTCAAGGCTAGTCAGAGAAAAAAGTTAGCAAGACCTTATCTCAAAGAACAGGTGTAGTGGCACACACATGTAATCTCAGGTACACAGGAGGCATAGGCAGGATGAATGCAGTCCAAGGCTGCCTCTGGACAGAAGCACAAGACCCTATCTGAAAAAGTACAAAGGGCTGGAGGTATAACTCAAGTGGTAGAGGGTCCACAAAAAAAAAAAACAAAAAACCTATTGGTGTGGTTGAATTTGTATTTCTAAATATAAATTGTATCTAATTTATATTTCTTTTTTTGTTTGTTTTGAGATAGGTTCTCACTATGTAGTCCAGGCTAGTCTAGAAGAGGCCCAATGAATCAGGACTGCTATCACCATCCAGCAGTAGTGAAGACATGCCCTCTAGTGTTAGTGGAGGGCCTATGGGGAGCAGGTGCTTCCACTTCCTCTCACAGGTGTCTAGCTGCCCCTCTCACCTTGGCTTGTTGCCACAGGTGGGATGGGAAACCTAACCTTCTTTCTTCACCACTTTCTCTGCCTGAGTCATAAGAAGTCACTGAATGGCTTACACCCATGATCCCAGCTGCTTGGGAGATGAAGACTGGGAGGATCACAGTTTAAGGCCAGCCCAGGAAAATGTTAATGAAACCCCATCTTATTTAACATGCTGGGTATGATGGTTCACACCTGTCATTCCAGCTACCCGGGAAGCATAGGTAGGAGGATTATGGTCTGAAGTCAGACCTGGGCAAAAACACGAGACCCTACCTGAAAAATAACTAAAACAAAAAGGCTGCGGGGGAGGAGGCGCATAGGAAGTGCAATGTCCTAAATTCAAATTCCTGTACCACCAAGGGGGAGTAAAAACATTTCAGCCAAAAACATGGTTAAGTAAGATCCAGACACTCATAAGCAATATCCAAATGTACAGACTCCCACTGAAAGTCACTCACCATATCAGAAGCCAGAAAAATCTCAAAATGAATGAAAAAAACCAATTACAGATGCTAATGCCAAGACGACAGACACATTAGGATTATATGAGAAATCTGAGCAGTTATCAGAAAAATGCAGTAAGGAGCAATTATGAATGTGCTTGAAGAAACAGAAAGCCTGTACACAGAAATAGGTCTTAGCAAAGAAACAAAACAGAACAAAGAACCAAATAGTAGATTTAGGATTCAAAAAGACAGAGATGGAGACAAGAGGATCATGGCTGGAGGCCAGCTTAGGCAAAAGCATGAGACCCTACATGGAAAACAAAAAAACTAAAAGCAAAAGGGCTGGGGGCATGACTCAAGTGGTAGAGCAATTACCTGGCAAGCAAGCCTGAGGCTCTCCTTAGTTCAAACCCCAGTACTCTCCTCCCCCTGCCACACACAAAAAAACCCCACCAAAAACAATAACCAGGGGCTTGGGGTGTAGTTCAACGGTAGCACATTTGAGGGCCTGGGTCCAATCTCTACCATCGTCAAATCAAAACAAAAAAGTAATAGCCAAATTAAAAACTTAGTACTGGTGGTAACCACTGGCTGCAGCAGCCACCAGAGGCGCAGTTAGAAGAGACCAGTAGGAATCCACCTGCACAGGTCTCCAGGATTCATGAATATCATGAAATCAGGAATGTAGCACTGACACATGCTACTGTATGGATGAATGTTTTGGTCATAATGCTGAGTGAAATAAGCCAGACACAGGAGGCCACATACTGTGTAGCTCCATTTATAAGAAATGTCCAGAACAGGCAAATCCACAAAGACAGAACTTACGTAAGTGGTTGCCAAGAGAAGGGGAGAAGGAATTGGGAGTGACTACTTAATGGGCACAGGGTGTTTCTGAGGGGCAGGTGGCAGCTGCACAACCCTCTACATGCCCTAAATACGAGAGAATTGCAAACTTGAAAATGATTACAATCACCCTCCATCTCTGCAAGTTCTACACCTATGGATTCAATTTACCAAGGATTGGAAACATAAGGAAAAAAACTTGATTTGTACTGAATATGTATGAACTTTATTTCTTGTCATTTTTTCAGTAAAGCAACTACACAGCATTTACATTTTACTAGATATTGTAAGTATCTAGAGATAATTTATAGAATATAGGAGGATGTGCATAGGTCAAATGAAAATACTATGCCACTTAATACAGACTTGAGCATCTGTGGATTTTGGTATCGAAAGGGTGTCCTGAAACTAAGGCCCTATAAACACCAAAAGACAATTGCATGCTATATGATTTCACCTTAATTTTTTAAAAGCATGTAAATCAGGGCTGGTGGAGTAGTTCCAATGGTAGAGTGCCTGCCTAGCAAACATGAGACCCTGAGTTCAAACTCCAGTATCATCAAAAGAAGGAAAGAAAAAAAAAAAAGCACATATTAAATTAAAATGAATTAAGCCTTTGAACTAATGTTCAGAAAAGCTGACTGAAATATTTATGTTCCACAATGAGTCAAGGTTTCCTGTAATGTAGACAAATGGAGACGAGGGGCCCCGTGTGCTTCTTGAAAGCACACAGGGGGGTGGGGCACAGGCCTGGTGTGCCATAAGAACATGGTAAAAGTCAATTTATTTTATTACAAGAGCATGCACCAAGTGTCATGCTTAACTTAAAATGCCAAACAACTTATCTGTAAAACTTCTAAAACTATGGCTTACTATGTGCAAACTCCCCATCATCCTTTGACATTGAGAGCCCATGGGCCCAGGCTGGAGGAACTTTACATGTCTCAGGACTCAAAAGTGATCCAGTAATCCCAAATATTCAACTAGAAAATAATTTTAAAGGGCTTTTTAAGGAAAAAAAGCCTCTCTCCTACATGTGATTTTGTTCTTACTCTCTCTGATGGTGGCTTTTTCAGAAAACAATGCTGTGTGAAATCCTCTCAAAATCCAATTTTAAGTATAGTATTATCGATTTACCAGTTACTCCAGGCTAAATCTAACTTTCTCTACAGACTCTCAGCATGCTTAAGTTTTGTTAAATGTCACCTTTTAACACATACAAACAAGTGGCTTCTCAGGTGGATACAACTCTGTTAATAAATTACTGAGTTCTCTGAATAAAAGGCAGTAAACAATCATGAAGTATATTCACCAGTATTTTAACCACTGATTTGAAGACCAAGTGGTTGTCCATCTGGAAAGGAGGGACATGCTAGATCAGTACTCCCCACTTCTGGCTACCTTTGGTCAAGAAATATGACTGGCAGTCACAGACTGGGATTGAAAATAAAAGAGGAAACTAAAATACTTACTTCAGAAGTGGAACTGGCAGGACAATCTTAAAATCAATCCATGGAAGAAAAGTAAGTGAGACCAGGGGGAACACCTGGGACTCAGCAGATATATCACCCTTAGAAGTAGATCCAAGCAGAGGCTGTAAGGCCCACCTACCTCTTGGCTGAGGCTGGAGACTTGGCCACGATGACTGCATTCCTATAGTCTGGGATCTGTGACATACAAGAGGTTGGGGATTATCACAATGTCTCTAAGAGGATATTCTGACAATTAATAAAAAGGAGCATTCCAAAATACTCAAAACTGTCATCTGCTTACTTGGAAGTTACTTACTTGTAAAAAAAGAAAAAGTTCAAAGTAAAACTCTCCTTTGGAAAATGAAAATGAAAATGTTTTCTAAAAGAGTATTTTTGCCTACTTAGGAAAAGTACTATTAAACTGTGAGACACACAGACTTAAGAAAAAAGTATGGACAATCAGTGATTAGCTCACATCTCTGTGCCAGCAAAAACTGATAATGCAATACAAATATATTTTCGAAATAACAACAGAAGCTGAGCAAAGTGGTGCATACCTGTGATCTCAGCTATTCAGGAGGATGAGGCAGGAGGATCAAAAGTTCAAAGTCAGCCTGGTTTAGAAAGTGAGACCCTGTCTCAAAAAATAAATAAAAATATAAAGTCTAAAAGCCTACTGTCCTCTCATGAGTCCCAATTAAAATGCAACTTCACAGTAGAAGGACACTATCCATCCAGTCTGATCCAAGTTAATTGTCAAATCACAATCACTGTGGTCCAAACAAGTGACTATTTAACATATTGTACATAGTTACAACATACTGAGAAAGCCAATTGTAAAAGGGCAACCAAATCAGTCCAGTGCTTGATCCATCCATCCATCCATCCATCCATCCATCTGTCCATCTATCTATTGTGAGCAAAGTAGGAGAATTTTTTTGAGATAGAAAAGTAGCAAAGAGTAGAGCTCCCAGAGCTGAGAGGGGTCCCAAGAGAGGGTACCCAGCCCAGTGCTATTTTAAAAAGACTTTAAGAGCCCTTAAAAACAAACAAACAAACAAACAAAAAACCAGACAACAAAAAATCCCAACTAAAATATCAGTTATTTTGGAGTCTTTGTTACTGTTAAAAATTTAATCAGTGCTAGTGATGATTAGAGTCAAAGATATAACCACTGTCAAGTTCTGAGAGTGTAGAAAAGAGAACTATTTTTAAGCTCAGCAGAGAGACATCTTGGCAATATTTTCAAATTATGTTCTTGAAATGTTAAATTAATAATAACCATTAAATTATGTTATCTCACTTAAGTACATTCTCATTGCTTTGTCTCACAATCACACCAGCCAACCTTTATTTTTTGTTGTTTTTTTGGTGATACCACACTTATTAGGCAGACGCTATACCACCCGAGCCATGCTGCCAGACCTTTTTGCTTTAGTTATTTTTTTAATAGGATCTCATTTTATGCCTGTACCAGCTGGATTATGGGAGCCCCCTATTTATGCTTCCCAGGTAGCTGGGATGACAGGTGTACACCACCACACCCAGTTTTTTATTGGTTGAGATGGGCTCTGGCAAACTTTTTGCCAGTGCTGGGCTCAAACAGTGATTCTCTCGATTCTCTTTGCAAGTAGTGAGGATTATGAGTGTGAGGCACTGAATCTGATCTTGTTTTGTATTTGAGACAGGACCTCAATATGCAGCCCAGGTTCGCCTGGAACTCTCAATCCTTCTTCCTCAACCTTCCTAGTGCTGAGATTACAGTCCTGCACCATCACACCAGACACACCAATGAATCTTAATGTAAGTGGTTAATAACACCTAGAGCTACAATGTCCAGCACGTAAAAAGCACTAAATACTCAGTAGGTGAAGAAAAAAACTAATTACTCTGAAGAAGGATGCGGTACAAGGGTATCCATATACTGACCATCTGATCACTTCAGATCAGTGTGTGTACAGGAAAGCCTAATTCATCCAGTACTCTGCGAGGACGGCAGCAAAGTACAATTTCATTTCAGTACTTCTATTATTTTTGGTCGAAGCCTTTCTGAATTGTCTCATGTACATCCCTTGCCTCACTGAACATCATCAAATAGCACTAAACCCTACCAAGAAGAGATATACCCACTATTAAAACCGTTAATAACACAAAATGACTCTAATAGAGCCAGGCCTTATTGTCTCTTCAGAGGATAAAACAGGAGTTCATATACATAAAGAAAGAATAGGCAGGAGCTGAGGACATAGCTCAGTGGTAGAGCACTTGCTTAGCATACATGAAGCCTTGGGTTCTATCCCTAGTACCATTAAAAAAAAAAAAAAAAGTTCAGTTTTTGCCAGGTGCTGGTGGCTCAATCCTGTAATCCTAGCTACTTGGGAGGCTGAGATCAGGAGGACTACAGCTTGAGGCCAGCCTAGGTAAACAGGTCACAAGATTCTATCTCCTAAATAACAAGAACAAAACAAACTGGAGGTTTGGCTCAAGTGGTAGAGTGCCTGCTTTGCAAGTGTGAAGCCCTGGGAGGGAGGAAGGAAAGAAGGGAGGGAGGGAGACAGGAAGAAAAAAAGGTAGCATGAAAAAGAGCCAAAAGAAATCTTGGAAGAGGATGTTATTGTGGTCTAAATAAAAGCTCAGTAGCCAGCTGGCTGGCTTAACAACAGAAATGACACAACGACACAGCTTAACAACAAACCTGGGAGGATCAAGCCAAGGATTTTCTCAGAATGCTATATATAAAATGCAAAAATTTAAATTAAGAATAAAAAAAGAAAAAAGCTGGGTATGGAAGCACACACTTGTAATCCTAGCACACAAGATGAGGCAGGAAGCAGGAAGATTAAGTTGGAGGCCAGCCTGAGCTATGAAGCAAGACCATGTCTCAAAAAAACTTAAAAAAAAAGGAATAACAAATGTTGGGACATGAGGTGTGGTTCAAGCTGTAGAGAGCCTGTTTTGCAAGTGTGAAGCCACCCCCCCCAAAAATAAATAAATAAATAAATAAGAGCTGGCAGAGAGGCTCAAGTGATAGACCATCTGCCTAACAAGCATGACATGGCCCTGAGTTCAAACTCCAGTACCAACAAAAAAGAAAAACAAATATTGGCTCGGTGTGGTGGTGCAAGCCTGCATTCTCAGTCTTTAGGAGGATGAGGCCAGAGGATGGAGAGCTCCAGGCAGTCTGGGCTACATTAGAGTTTGAGATCAGCCTGAACCTACATAGAGGGACTCAATCTCAAAAACAACAGAAAATAAAAATAAGTTCTGATGATGTCACCGCCATGCCGTGCCGCCCACCTCCCTGGCCTGTGCAGCCCATTGTGCAGTTCTGCTGACCCTTGCCAGCTACCCCCGCAACCACCAAAATGTCTGGAGGTGCAAATGCAGGTTTAAGTGCTGCCAGTGGCAGCAATCGAAGACTTCAGCAAACACAGCATCAAGTAGATGAGATGGTGGACATAATGAGAGTCAATGTGGATGAGGCATTAGAAAGAGACCAGAAGATCTCTGAATTAGACAACCATGCAGACGCATGTGCTGCAGGCAGGAGTTTCTCAATCTGAAACAAGTGCTGCCAAGCTGAAGAGAAAATATTGGTGGAGAAACTGCAAGATGTGGTAATAGGGATTAGCGTTCTGGTGATCTTCACCACCATTGTTGTCATGGTCATCATGTGGCATGTCACCTCATGAAGAACCCGAGAGGCGGGATCCTGCTGTTCCGAAACCTCTTCGACTTTTGACTTAGCACCTGCTACATCATCAAGCTTACCTACTGTTCTTTCTAAAATGGTTAATTTCATTAGTTCACATAGAGTTCGGTTTCTAAGGAATGTGCCTTTGTTTTGAATATGCACTACCAACTCGAGGTGTGGCCAGCCCTGTTCACATCTTGCACAGGGTCTTTACTGATGTACACACAGGCTGGGAGAGACTTCTTGAGCTCCAGAATGCTGTCATCTAGACAACATGTTGTCACTAATTACCTGCCATTGATTCCAGTTAAGAGAATTTGGTTCAAATTAGCTGTCCTGGTCTTCGACAATATCTTCAAAACCACATTTTTAAACCTCTGGGTAATCAAATTTCCAACTTGTGCCTTCCAGGAAAAAACACTACTGCCTAACACAAATCTGTGACAATAACAGGCTGTGCCTTATTTTGATACTTAGGGCCCTTTTTGTAAGCACTACTGACTCTCACTGTATTTAAACTGGGATGCTGATGAATAGATTTTGCTCTTACATTAGATATGAATGTTTATACTCTTGTTATGTATCACTTGATAAAATTGTGTTTTAATCAGAATAACCCCTATAAAAAGTTTTTATAGGAAAAAAATTAAAATTAAAAACTAATGTGATTACATGAAATTTATACAAGACTGATTTACCCAGGAATGCAAGGGTAATTTGACATGAAGAAAAAATTGATCTATATAGTAAGTCATGTGGGGAAAAAAACCCCCACATAATCATCTCAATTAATGCAGAAAAAGCATTTGACAAATCCAATACCCTTTCATGACAAAAATACTCAGGGGCTGGGGATGTAACCCCAGTCCTATACCTAGAGTGTCTGAGGCCCTGTGTCTAATCTTCAGAACTGCAAAAACAAACAAAGTACCACTCAGAAAACTAGGACTGGGAGAGCATTTCTTCCCAAGTGATAAAGGGTGTAAGAACCACACCACCAACTTCAGACTTAATGGTGAAAGACTGAAAGCTTTTCCTCAAGATCAGGATCAAGACAAGGATGACTGCTTTCAGTTCTGCTATTTAACTTTGCACTGAAGTTCTACCCAGAACTATTACACACGAAAAGGAAATGAAAGGAACCTACATTGGAAAAGAAGAGGTCAAACTAACTCCATTTGCAGGGGACATGACCTGATAAGTAGAACATAACAAACTACTGCAGTTGATAAATGGACTGCAGAACTGCAGAGCGCAAGATCAACAGCTCAGCTCTTAAAGCTGATTTTAATTTTTCTATACACCAGCAACAAACACACCAAAAAGTAACCAATGAAAAAAATTTACAGTATCCTATAAAATAATTAACTATCTAGGAATAAACCTAACCTAGGCTAAGAAGTGAAACGCCTTACACTGAAAACTGTAAAACACTGCTGGGAAACATTGAAGAAGGCCTCAGTACACAGGAAGTTACCTGGTATTCGTGGCTGGAAGGGTTAATACCAGCATGGCCAGCTGGCTGGAGCCAGTGCCTCATATCTGTAACCCTAGCTACTTGGAGGGCTGAGGGCAGGATGATGGAAGAGACGCCAGTCTGAGCGGGGAGTTCAGGAGACCTCAACTCAACCAACATCTGGCCAAGGTGACTGCCATCCCAAGCTACAGAGGAGACTGAGAATGGGAGGATCCCAGTTACAGTTCCCACCCAGAGAAAAAGTTTGCTAGACCTCATCTCAATGGAAAAAAGCTGGGCGTGGTGGCACACTCATCCCAGCAGTGGTGGGAAGCTTAAAATAGGAGTATTATAATCCAGGCCAGCCTGGGAAAAATGCAAGATCCTATCTCCAAAATAACCAAAGCAAAAAGGATGGGAACCACCTATCTCGCAAAGTCAAGGCCTGAGTTCAAACCCCACTACAGCTAAAAAAGGAAAAAAAAAAAAAAAAGCCAAAAAACAAAAAACAAGGTGGCCAATATTATATTATACAAAGTGAACTAGATTTAATACAATCCCTATCAAAACTCCGATGACCTGTTTTAGCTCCAAGAAGCCAAAATGATCTTAAAAAACAACACTTGGAAGACTTATAATTTAAATAAAAATTCAAGTGTGAACCTGAGTTCAAACCCTACTCCCACCAATCAATCAATCAATCAATCAATCAATAAATAAATAAAATTCAATATTGTCGTGGTATAAAAATAACATATGACCAACTCAGAGTTCAGAAGCAAACCCAAACATTTATGGTTTATTGATTTTTGACCATATGGTACCAAAGCCATCCAATAGGGGAAATAATATCCTTTTGTAGGTTTTTTTGGTGGTACTTAACTGGAGCTTGAAGTCAAACACTCTACCACTTGAGCTACAATCCAGTCCTTTTTTTTTTCTTTTAGTGTGTTTCTTTTTAGATAGGGCCTCCCATTTTTGCCTGAGCTGGCCATCGACCACCATCTGCCTGTCTCTACTTCCCACATAGCCAGGATTACAGACACGTACCACTATACATGGCCCAAGAATAATCTTTTCAACAAATGATGCCAGACGATGGATATATTCCAAAGGGCCAGAACACACATGGATCAATGCTGAGTGAGTTATTTGTTATTATCAATGACCAGTCCAATTCTAAGTACTTGAGATCCAAAAGAAAAAGTGACTTTAAGAGCTGAGCAAAAGAAGTAAACTGCAGATTAAGAAATTGGATTGTGCCACCCCTCCCTCCAGTCCATTTGCTCTGGTCATTTTCAAGATGGGGTCTCATGAACTATTTGCCTGGGCTGATCTCAAACCTCCATCCTATCTTAGCCTCCCAAAAAACAAAAAACAAAAAAAAAAATGGAAATACACAGAACTGGATCTACAAAGGACAGATATATCACATTTTGTTTCCTTAAGGACAGCTCAAAGAAATGGAACTATACCTTCCTTTACCAGAATTTCTTTCTTTTTTCCCCCCTGCAGCATTGGGGTTTGAATTTGAGGTCTTACACTTGCTAGGCAGGCACTCTATCACTTGAGGCATGCAGCAAGTCCATTTTGCTTCAAGTATTTTTCTAACAGGGTCTTGCTTTTATGACTGTACTATCCTCAACAGCAATCCTGTTTATACTTTCCATGTTACTGTGAAGACAGATGCTTACCACACGCAGCTTTTATTGGCTGAGATGGGCTCTTGAGAACTTTTGCCTGGGCTGACCTCAAAACCATGATCCTCTAGATCTCTACTTCCTAAGTAGCTGGGACTACAGGGGTAAACCACTGCACCTGGCTTACATGAATGTTAAAATAAAATATATGAGTTAGCTTACCTCTTCTTGAATATACTGTAATAGGAAGGGAGATGCTCTTAAATTATCAACAGGAATATTGAAGAAGCCCTGAATTTCCTTCTGGTGTAAATCCATAGTAATGAGATGAGTCAAACCTTTGAAAATAATGCAGATACAAATACATAGTTAAAATTAAGTTGCACTGTAGGAAGTAAATGTAATATAAAATAATATGCTATATATAATAAATTACTGTGAAAAAAGTGCTCTTGTACCACAAAAAAACTGGCACCTTTACTGTTCAGAATTTTTTAGCACGATGAGATGCATGGTTTTCATGTTAATTTAAAGTAACAGAAATAGCAAAGGTGATAATAGCACAGAAATGTCTCTAAAAGTTCTGTCAGAGCAGATTATACTTCTTGGATATTTCCTTAATAGACACAGCGAAGCCTGATCTGAAGATACCAAGACAAAGTGCATCAACATGGAAACTGGAGAAAATGAGAAACTCTCTCTCTCTCTCTCTCTCACACACACACACATACACACACACACACCCGTGTTCTTAAAGGACATTTAACATGGTCACCAGAAAAGTGTATGGAAACATTTAAAACTCAACACTTGCCCAAAAGAGCAGGGAAGTGAGCCTGGTGGTCCATTTAGTAGCAAGGATGGACGAGACAGGTAAAACCTTCCACAAGGATCAGTAAGCCAGCCTGTCCCTTTGCCAAGGACTGACACAGTGCTTTCAAGGGGGTACGTGCCTAAGGTTTCTGGGTTTTTTTTAATCTGTTTGTTCAATGCTATACTGGACCATGTATTTTATGTAAGTGTCTCTGTTAAAAAACAGTGATGTGGGGGAGGTGGCCCAAATAATGTATACACATGTAAGTAATTGTAAAAACGATAAAATTAAAAAAAAAAAAGCAGTGATGTGAGGATGTTTTATCCCTTCCTCAATGTGCAAATGCTCTGTGATATGTACCTTCTATAACCATACACACTTGTACACAGCACACACGACACTCACAAATGTGACATACACATACAAACACACATATACAATGGCAACTATGAAGAGTATTTAGAAAAAGGTAAACTATCTGAGAATGCTGAATATAAAACAATACCTACAGCATACAAAATATGCCCATCTGTGCTGGAAAGGAAGAAGCCTGTATAAAGAGTGTAGTAGTAAGGTTCAGAATGACTTTTCCCCTTTCAAAACAACTTTACTATGATTCTAAATCATCTCTTCAATATAACTTTTTCTTTTTTTTTGAGGTACTGGGGTTTGAACTCAGGGCCTATACCTTGAGCCACTACACCAGCCCTTTTTGTGAAGGGTTTTTTCAAGATAGGGTCTTGTGAACTATTTGCCCAGGCTGCCTTTGAGCAGAGATCCTCCTGATCTCTGCCTCCTGAGTAGCTAGGATTATAGGTGTGAGCCACCAGTTCAAAGTTCAATATAACTTTCAAACACAGAATTTGGGAAAAAATGAAAACAAAAGTTGTTCTCATTACCTTTGTGTTTTAGGGAGTTGGAAACAGAATTTTCTGCAATTTTCTCATTAAAGTAGTTCCTATTTACCTATGGTTTTGCTTTTTGCAATTTCCATGATCCAAAAATACTAAATGGAAAATTCCAGAAATAAAGAGTTCCTAAATTTTAAACTATGTATCATTCTGAGTAATGTGATCAAGTCTCTTGATACCCCACTCTACCACCCAGGACAGAATTATCCATGCTTCCTATGCAACCCATTCGTTACTCACTCAGTATCTATCTAAGTTATCAGATCTGCTGTCACAGTATTGTAGTGCTTGTGTACAGGATTCAGTGCCATCTGTGGTTTTGGGCATCCACTGGGGGGGTCTTGGCACCTATCTCTTGCAGGAAAGGATAGACTACTATATAAACTAGTTGTAAAAGTTGTGTCACTATGTTTACTCTCTTGTAATTTAGTTACAACAATGCTTTGAAATTTCCAAGGTAAAAAATAAACCTTGCAGGGCTGCAATTAACTGTCAAAGATCTGTCATTCTTTTTTTTTTTTGGTGGAACTAGTGTTTGAACTCACACTTGCAAAGCAGGTTTGCTACTGCTTGAGCCACACCTCCAATTCATTTTCTCTGATTATTTTGGCCTTGGGGATCTTGTGAACTATTTGCCCCAGTTTGCCTCAAACCACAATCCTCCTGACCTCAGCCTAAGTAGCTAGGATTACAGATGTGAGTCACCGATGCCCAGCAAATCTGCCATTCTACTTACCAGCTTTGCACATCATGGAAGCCAGCAGTTTAGAGACGATAGAACCTCTTTTTCTCATCTTGCACTGTTTGCTGTAAGGGAAGTAGGGGATCACACCAATGATGCTCTTGGCACAAGAGGTCTTACAGGCATACACCATGATCAGGAGCTCCATGATGGTGGTATTCACATCCCTGGAACAGAGGCAGAAAATCTCACTGCATGGTGTTACTATTTCCTTGGCCTGGGAATGTAGCTCCACACTAGAACATGTGCTCAGCATGGTCAAGACCCTTGGTTCCATCCCCATAACCAAAGTATTAATAACAATACTAACAGCAATGTTTTCCTGTTCCAACAAGGTGTCAGCAGTGTGCCACTCATGCCTCTAATAAGATTTAAGGCCCAAGACACAGAAATGAATAAATCCCTCTCTTCAGGTCTCCATCAGCTGCCCCCATGGATAACCCTACTTTCTGTTTCACTAAGATAAACCGATCAGAAGAATGCTTCCCTGGGCTTCCACTGCCAAGTGCATGCTGGCCTGCTCTCAGTCACTAGTCGGAGAGGAACTTTCCACACCATGTTACCCTAAAATTACACACTAATCCCTATCACTTCTCACCCACTGGAAGAGGTTGCTCTAGCAACGCTCCATCTCCTGCCTCTACCATCACTTGCTAGGCTCCCCTAGCTCACTCCCACTAGCCTATAAACATGCTAGCTAGCCCTTCTTCTGTTAGAAACAACATTTAACTACCTTTCTCACAGCCCCTTTGTAGTACATCTTAAGAGAGTCATCTATACACTTGCTATCTCCAGTCCATCTACTCTCAACATCTTCCAAACACTGGGCTCCCTTCAGCAGCACATATACTCAATCTCACCCATATACATTCCAAACAGTTCTCATCAGTGTCATCAAAGACCTCCCTCACTAGCTAAATCCAATTCATCTCAGTGTTCTTCCTTGGCTGCTCCACAGCATCTGATGAAGCTACTCACCTGTTCCTAGGCACACTTTGCACATGCATCTAGGATGCCCCTCTGGTTTCCTCCAGCCTTCCTCAGAATCTTTTGCTGGTTTCCCTTAGCCCAATCTTCTGTCTAAGACACATTTGTCTTCTCCTCCTGTCTCCCCTCACCTCTTGGGCTTCACATCCAATAATCCAATTGTGGGGCTTTATTAATCTTGGTGACTGTCCCAGTCCTAATCTCCAGTCCACGTTCCTCTCCTGAACCCCAGTCTACGAAATTCTACTGCTACTGGGGGAGGTTTCCACATGAATGTCTATTAAGACATCACAAAACTTAATATTCCCTGAACTGCCCTTCCCCCTACTCTCCTCCAACATCTGTGTCACCACACCAGCAGCTTAGCTGTTGGCCACATTGTTCCTCTAAGTCACACAGGACAAAAACGTCAAGGCCATCTTGAATTCCTCTCTCTTCCAGACAGTTTCACACCTCAGCACTCCATACTCCCCCCCACCTGGTCCACACTCCCCACCACTTGGTCCACTCACCCTCCACTGAAGGACAGTGGCCTGCTGGCACAGGCCTGTGTTCCTCCTGGAGCTGCTGCATACAGAGCAGCTTGCCTTGAAAGTGAAAGACAATGAAGGCCTCTGCTCAGGACCCACAGCCAGAGCCTAATGCCTCACAAAGGCTCCCAGGCCCTTTGCAACCTGTCTTCACCCCTGCTGCCATCTCCTGCTCCTCACCCCTTCTCAGTCCAGCCACAGTCTACCCTGGTTAGTCCTGGGTTACTCGCTGCCCCTGAGGGTCTGCTGCTTGTCCTGCTAGGTTTTGTTTTGTTTTTGGGGTTTTTTTGTGTAATTGGGGTTTGAACTCAGGCCTTCATGCTTGCATATCAGGCACTTTATTGCTTGAGACACACCTCCAGTCCATTTTTACTGTGGTTATTTTGGAGATGGGGTCTCATTAACTATTTGCTCAGGCTGGCCTCGAATCATGGTCCTCCCTATCTCAGCCTCCCAACTAGCTATGATTAAAGGTATGAGCCAGTGGAACCTGGCCTTTCTATGGTTTTGGCTCCACTGTTTCCTTCAAGATGAGTCCTGCACTGTCTGGCCCTCTGCCCCTTCACCACCATCACTTCCAATTTCTTTGACATCCCATTTTGTTTTTTTCCACAGCACTTAACATTTTGTGACATACTAGAAAACCTATGCAGCCCTCTTAGTGTTCTCCTCCACTAGAATACAAACTCCACAAGCACAGGCATCTTTACTTGTTTCAAGCAAGAAGGCATCTTACACACTTGCAACAGAAACTCAATTATAAGGACATTCAACAAATATTTGTTACTGAATACATGGAAACAGAGAACATTTGGATGAGTAGGTTCTGTTATTAACTAACAAGTCCAACGTCCATGCTTTCAGAAAAGCATTCTATGTGGAAGGATGAGTAGAGGAACTGAATGTGAGAATAGTCATTGCAGGCTCCCAAATCAAAGCACCAAGGAATAAGGTTTTCTATGACCCAACACAAATGATGAAAATCTCATGTGAACTATAGGAAAACTTCAGCTAATGGACAAAATTTCTTCATCTGAAATTTGTCTTATACCTTTAGTAGCTATAACTAATCTGTACTAAAATGAAGTAAGGGGCTAGGGTATAGCTCAGCAGGGTATAGCAAGCAAGAGGCTATGTGTCTGATTTCCAGCACTGCAATCAATCGATCAATCAATCAATAAAATAAAGCAGCAGTTGTATCTGACAGCAGCTAATGTCCAGGCTAATTCATGGTATTTCAGAAAGATGACCCTGATATTTGGGATTCCTGCAAGCTGGACAAAACTAAGAACCTGACTTCACACGAGTCTGTGGCACACTGGGACATGAGATGATGCAAAAGATGAAAAAACTAAGGGGATGACAAAAGGAGACAAAACTGAAGAGGAAATTAAGGGGATGCTGAGTGGTTCTGACCAGAGGAATAAGGAACTGAAAAAAGGCAGGGACAGTTGACAACAGTGTTAGAGTAAACAAAACAAGTAAAGGAAAAGAAATGGAAGGACTTGAAAATGAGAAAGCTTAGCAAAGTCACCCCTCTGAAGTCCTGAATTCTAATTCAACTGGGGTACTATCATCTGCTTTGCCCCAGGGAATCTGCAGAACCTCTGTATTTATTGAATGGTATCACAATTGTCTGGGATAGAGTACTGCAGATGCTCCAAATCAGCCAATCATCCTGTGCTTGCTCCTCCCCTCCCCAACGGTGAGGGGGAGACAGTCACAGGTGGGTGCTTTGTTGGCGCCCAGGTGCAAAAGGAGAGCAGCAGCAGGGTAGCAAGCACGTGGCACCCCACTCCCAGATCTGCTAAGGACCCTGATGTCTCAACAAAAGAGGAAGCAAGGGCTCCACAGTAAAGAATAGCTATGCCTTCCTCTCTCATGGCACACGAGCTTTCCAGGGAGATGGGATGCTACAAAAGATTCCTGCCACTTCTCTTCCTAGGATGGCTGGGTATGATTCCATTGGAAGCAAAGATCAGGAGAGATGGGTGCAAAATTTAGGTGCAAGTATATGTGTTCCAAGACTAATTCCTCTGAAATTGGCTTTTCTTCTCTTTCTTTGCTATTTATTCTACAAAAGCTACACACACATCTAAGTTCATCATGCAGCAATTTTCAGACTCTTTGCTAAAAAATGATGTACTATACAAACTGATTTCTAGACATCATTAAAAACTGTTCAATGGCCACAGTTCTTACATTTGCAAAAGTAGGAGCTCAAAGAAAATGTGGCTCACCAAAGTGGTTAGAATGAGGCGCTTATATGCCATCTTAAGCAGAGAAAGGACACTTAAAGTGGCTTTGAGAAAAAACAAACAGGCCCTCAGGAGACTAGATGGAAGATAGAACACAGTGTCTATGTTTTTATCTCAGTCAGATTTCTCCCGAAGTGTCATGACAGGAGTCAATCTCCCTGGTTGGGAAACTTCCAGCCTCCATGAAGGAGATATACAACATCTGAGTTCTTTGATTTAGGACCCATGAATTCTTCTACTTTATCATTACTGGGAGAGGGCAGGGCAGATCAGGCTGGAGGGCACCTGGAAGTTTCCAGCCACTGTGCAGCCTACTCTGCTGGTCAAGGCTGGGGCACTTGGGACCTTTGCTCCAACTTTGTTTAGGCAGAAACCGAAGCTGTTCCATCCCTTCCCACTCTGACCTGGAGCAATATGGTTACTGTAGACTACTGGGGGTGGGGTGGGGTGGAGAAGGGGGATGGACGGACATAGACAGTACTGTTGAACAGGGAAGCCCAGAATTGGGAGGTCCAGCTAGGCCATTAAAACAAGGAAAAAAATAATTGTTTTGAGTGAAGAATTTTCATACACAGAGGCATCTGGGCACAAAAGTACAGTGGAAAGTGGGGCTCCACATGATCATTCTCTGAGCCTGATTGAAAGTGGCACAGGCAGCCTTATGCACTATATTGTTCACATCCAGCTGATGTGAACAATTTCTAGAACACATCATGTCAACTATCACACCAGACAGAAACATACATTCCATCACTCCATTCTTCTATCTTGTCAGTTCATTTAATTTATGCAACAAAATAATAAATGGTGGCCTTCTTTAAATTACATGCAATTCCCCTCCCCAACACCCCCGTCTTTTTTTGAGGGAGGAACAGAAGTGTGACCCTGCAAATTTAATAAAATTCTGGTTACTGGGTGGGGGCGCAGCTTGGTGGTAGAACCCTTGTCTAGCATGTACAAGGCCCTGGGTTTGATCCCCAGCATTGTGAAAAATATAAAATAAAAATCCTGGTTGTTGATTATGAGGATCTTAATGAGTTCTTTCATTGACAGCCTCCACTCTAATACTTGATTATTTCCACCCATCAAGAATACAGAAAATGGCAGAGATGGGCATGGTGGTATAAATCTATAATCCCAGCTATTTGCGAGTTAGAGGCAGGAGAATCTCAAAAAGGGCCGGGAGAGGGTATAGCTCAATGGTAGAGCACTTGCCTAGGAAGCCCAAAATCCTGGGTTCAACCTCAAGTACAAAAAAAAATACAGATATATATATATATAAATATAAAATTATGTATACATATAAATTTTATATTAAAATTTTTTATTTATTTATTTATTTTTCCCAGAAGGCTGAGGCTAGAGGATCACTTGAGTCCAGGAATTTGGCCAGCATGGACACAATAAGACACTGTCTCTTAAAATAAGGAGAAATACTGAAAAGAACACATAAAAGTCAGAAGTTATGTCAGAAAAATCAGTGAAGAGACACCAATTTTAGGACACTTAATTCTTGCTGTTTGGTCAACTCTTAGTATTTTAAACTCTCATGCCCAAACAGCAACCCAGAAGGCAACATCTCTGTTAGGTAACTACTCACTTTGAGACGGTCTGGATAATGAAAACATCTTTTCCCCTCACAGACTCTTGAATCTGTACTCTTGTTTCTGGCAGGAAGGAAAAAAGAGGGGAGAGGAAAGCATATAATTCAATTTTTAAAAAAAATACAAAACATCTCCATCAATCTCCTATGTTATAAGATACAGAAACTCAAACTATTAGATGCTACAATAGACAATATGCAATGCCATTAATTATACTTTTTATACAACCTTAAATGGGAATTTCCTTTCTGACTTAAAATAAGCAAATCTAGCTTCTCATCCCTCACACACAAGCAATGAGTGCTGTGTCATTCAAAGCAATGTATCTGTATAGGGAAGTACGGCCTTATTCATCCAACCAGAGCCAACTGAGATCTTAGGCATAGGATGTTGAATGTGTGGGGACAAAAAGAAAGAAAATTCAGTATCTGACTCTCAAATATTTGTGATCAGCCACAAGGAAACAACTGAACAAATCCAGGATAAGACATTGTACGCGACTATTGCATTACTAGTCAAGGTTATGGGAAGATGAAAGAAAAGGTGAGGGTCTGTTCTAGAGTAGAAGAGACCACAGGGATATAAAAAACATACCACTAGGGCCTTGAGTTCAAACCCCAGTACTGCCAAAAAAACCAAAAACACAACTTGAACTAAAATTTGTGGTTTGAATTAAAAACAAAAATAGCCATAAAAAGCTGTTTTAGGATAGGATAACTAGAAAAATTTGAATATAGACTAATACTACATAATCACAAAATTATTATTAATTTCTTTAAATGTGACAATATTTTACATATATACTAGAACGTACTTCTTATAGTCAAGTACCCAGGGATTAAATGTCTTGATGTCTGCAACAACTTACTTTCAAATGATTCCAAACATAAATATTCAGATGCTAAAATAGTGAACCTAAGTGGTAGATATACATACAGGTGTTCATATTACTATTCTTTCAACTTTCCTGTATGTTTGAACATTTTCACTAAAAATGCTGGAGAGTTGGGGAGTGTAGTTCAGTGGTAGAATGCTTGCCTAGCAGGCAGAGGGCCCTGCATTCCATCTCCAGCACCAAGGAAAAGAAGTTAGAAAAACAGAATGAATGCTAACAAAACAATGCAGTGTAATGCTACAGAAATGACCTTTAGAGTCAGGGAGATCTAGATTCAAATCCCAATGCTGCTACTTTTGAGAGCTTTTACCTAACATCATCTCTGAAATCATTTTTTCAGTATCTGGTGACAATAAGGAATCCATAAATGTTAGCTCCTTCCCAAGGGACACCATGTTTTCCCTCCCTTCATTCATAAACCTGGAAAGAGAACCAGCTCCCCTAAGTCCATAGCACTGGTCTTCCCTGTAGCCCTTCCTCATCCAATCCCTGTTAGAGGAAACTCTTCCCCTGACTCTCCCAGCATCATTTTTTCAATCATACTCATCTCTGCTGAGATGTCCTGAAGGATCTTGGGAAACAAGAAAGAAGTGGTATTGGAGAGCTCAATAGGGGATTTGTGCTTTTCTATCAAAGCCTCCTGAAAGCTTTGTGGTATCTAAATACTTGAAAAAAATCCTACAGTGGAAAAGAAGAGGGAATGAGTATTTATTGAGCACCTACTATGCGTTAACAACTTGTTAGGCACACGGATTATCTCATTTAATCCTCCAAACAGCTTTGTCTACAGTTTAGAAAGGTTAAATAGTTTGTCAAGATAAGGTGTACAGTTCTCATGCCCTTGCAGGCTGCCCATCACTCCTGCTAGAATTTCAAATAGCCATCATTTCTAAAAAAATTACAAAGATTAACACACTCCTTACAACTTGGGTGATTACATAATAAAAGATACTGATTAGCAAAAACTATTTTCTACCAAGATTTTATGACATCTAATCCATTAGATGTCATTAGATTAGGAGGAAATAAAGAATTACCACTTGAGGCTGAAGTGTATACACAACTCAGTGGCAGGGTGTGTTCTTAGCATGCATGAGGCCCCGGGTCGGGTTCAATAACCCAGCAAACACACACAGTAACCAGTAACTGGAACTGTAGCCACATGGATTCATTCATCCTCCCTAAAATGACATAAATTTAACCGACAGCTGTGCTGATGTTCTCATTGAAATGACCAGCTGGTTTATGGTTCAGCAGTACGTACTGAATGGGGCCTATGAACCAGCATTCAAGCCCCCAAATGTGAGTTGCACCACGGCTCTATATCTAGTTGGTATTAGTAAGAGCCAAAAAACCATCCCCTTCTGCCTCGCCTGCCTAACTTCTGCTAAAGAACTAACTGGACAACTGAATCAAATTGTCTCAACTTGGAGACAAGGTCTCATTGGAGGATGAAGGCCTGAGCCAATACACCACACACCACAAAATGATCAGCAGTATGCATATCCAAGATAGCTCACCTCTGTTAGGTTCCTGGTATACCTGCACTTTGCCCATCTCCACCCCCAGCCGCCTAGAGAAGAGAAAGGGGAAAAAAGCTGAGAAGGTAACAGAATAAACCCAACATCTTCACTGTTTAAGATGACTCATAAATTGATGAAAGTAAAATGAAACAGTTATTCTTATTACAAAAAAAAAGTCAGTATTAAATTGTTATGTCTGTTCACTGTCTACCCCCACCTCCACCCCATGTCTACCCAGGGCCTACCTAATCCAGCTCTGCTTGCTTCACCAATCATCTTCTTGGTGTTCTTGACCCTCCAGTTCATGTTCCCAACATGCACCAACACCTCTCCTGCATACCACAGCGTCTTGGAATCTGCTACTCCCTCTGCCTGGAGGGCTCTGCCATCAACCTTCACTTGATGGCTCATTCAGATCTCTCAATTCACACACCATTCCCTCAGTTTAAAGGTACCTGAGAACCCATGCTAAAGTAGAACATCCTGCCCCATCCTTGCTTTCCCATTGCCTTTTTTCTCGCATATGTCATCATCTGGAATTTTCTTGTTGGTTGGGTGGAGCTGCTTCTTGTTTGGCACCCATGATAGGATGAAAATTTCCTAACAAGGAAGGCTGACTGTCCTGTTCTCAGTTAACCCCCAACATCTAGATCAAGGTCTTGTACACAGCAGGGATTTGTTTACTACATCTAAAATTATACTGAACTATACCAGGTGCCAATGGCTCATGCCTGTAATCCTAGCTACTTGGGAGGTTGAGATTAGGAGGATCGTGGTTCAAGGCCAAACCAGGCAACTAGTTCATGAAACTTCGTGAGACTCCCTCTCCAAAATAACCAGAGCAAAATGACTGGAAGTGTGGCTCAAGCAGTAAAGTGCCTATTTGCAAGCAAGAAGCCCTGAGTTCCACCAAAAAATAAATTATACTGAACTATAAGTTATAAACCATTCTCATACTATATACTTCCCTGCTATATGAATATTTTATTCATAAAGGTAGCACCTAACACAACCCCTAGTGCTTATGAGGCCCTCATATAAATACGCAAATGACTATGTAAGGAGTTGTGATAGATAGTTTACAAAAAGGTTACCCTTTAATCTATGCACGTAATACACAGACTGACTATAAAATATCTGCTTTCAAGCTTGACAATCACTGCTAACTTGATTATCAAATTTAAAATATCTTGCAATGAATACAGATTTGAACAGTAAAATTATACTCACTCAGCAATCTTCTTTGAAAGTTCCATACATGATGAATTGGAATTTGCTGAAAACAAAACCAGACCTCCTTTGGTTACATTCATCTTGGTTTCTAATTCAGATGGCGCCACACAAAACATCAAAACCTTCTTGATGTTCCAATTCTCAGAGCCTAGAAGAATACCATAAATATTAAGAACTGCCATATGATATGAAATATACCTGAATGGATTTTTTTTTTAAATAGCAAATGACTTTAGCTTGAAGGAAAGCAGTTTTTACCATAATGGTGTCTTTTATATTAGAGGATATATACATATATGTACATACATACATGGGCAAACAGAAAGCTCATTTGGATTTTAGGATTCCAAACTGATGGAAATACATTATCATATGACTTAACTTTTCATAACCATTGGGAATAAATGATAAACTTACAAGAAAGGTGGAGCTGAAGAGCTCAGTGTTTTACTGTTTGCTGCTTAAAGTCAATTATGGACAACCTCCTGTTATTCTCTGACAACAAAATTCCTCCTGGATTAACACACAGAAAAATGGCAGAGCCATTAGCAAGGACATGGACTGATTGATCCTTAAACAGACTAAATGACCCACCTGCATAATACCTGTTTCCCAGAAAGCCTCCCCCTGCCCTTTTAGTTGCCCCATGTCATTCTAAAACTGTCCTGGTCAACTTCATTTCCCTCAACTGGAACCCCAGGTTGACTGGATAATAACCTTGAAGAGAAGTTAAGTGGCCACCAAGTGCCAGGCAGCAGGACACAAGTAAATAGGACCCTGACCCAGGGGTCATCTTCCACTCTGGGCTGAGTGTCCTCACACCTGGAAGGAAGAGCAACAATCTAGCAGGCTGTGGGGGAAGGTGCAGGCTCCCAGGAAACCCACAGCACATCTTTGGTTGTGTGTTTACCTGGGATAGCTCTGGGAAGGCTGGTAGAGATTATGAATGGGCTGAAACTGATTGAGCCACTTTTGTTATTCTTAAAACTTTTTAATGAAACATGACAGTTAAGGCTGAAGCAACCAACCCCAACCCCAGGCTCTTTTCCAGTAGTAAGGTTCCTACTAATTTGATATGGATACCTTAGGCCTTTCCTACACATGTGTAACCTCTATAAAAAATATGGATGAAAAATATATACAATATTTCTAGCATAAAAAAGGTATCACTGCACATACTTTATCTGTAATTTGCTTTTTCACCAAACAACCTGGGTTAAAAGACACAGACCTATTCTGTTCTAACTGCTGCCTAGTCTTCCATGGAGTGAATCTGTTGCTGTTAGCCTCCTGAACAGGCCTCCTTGTGCACATGTGCAGTGGGACTGCTGGCTCACAATGGTAGCTTAGTGCATAGCCCACTAACAGGCTAGGAGAGTGCACTTCCAGCCGAGCACCCCTTAAAAAGGGGTATTCCAAGTGGGTCAGCCCAGGACTCCAAAACAGAAAAATTAACAAGCTATGGTGCAATTTACCTTAAGCTTACACAATTTACCTTTCCTTTTTTTTTTTTTTCGATGCTGGGGACTGAACTCAGGGCCTTACACTTGCCAGGCAAGCGCTCTTCCACTGAGCTAAATCCCCAACCCCCACAATTTACCTTAAGTCTACAAATCACAAACACAATGCATGCACAACCAAAGCCCTAAAGAGACCAAGGAGGACCACTGAAGTAAGTCTACCTGGAATGTGGATTTGGAGCAGAGATCAGTCAATACAGCCCATGAGCCAAACTGGGTCTCTCCAAAGTCTTCAGGCAGCTCACTAGTTTACCAACTGTTCCTGGACACAACAGTACACTGAGTAAAGCCACAGAGCCTGTATCATTTGGCCCTTTACAGAAAAAGGTTGCTGATCCCTGCTTTCAAGGGAGTGCATCATCTGCAAAGGTTGATGAGAGTAAGACATAGTGGATGGCATAAATGAAAGAAATTCCACATTGAATCATCCACATTCAGAGTTGAAAGGGATCTCAGATGTCCTCTAATACCGTCTCTTAGGGCCCTGATAGGAACAGAGGGTACAGGTCCAGGAGTGGACACCGAAGCAAAAGTTAATTCTCTAGTTACAAATACGCTTTGGAGTCAGGTTTGCAGCTTGGCTCCTACTTTCCTTTAACTACCTTGAAGACCTTTTGTAAGTCACTTAAAATCTCTGTAACACTTTCTAAGGTCTATCATTCAAGCAACTGTGAAAAGTGTCCATAGGATTACTGTAAAATTTCTGCCAAGCACTTAACACAGTGCGTTGCATACAGGACAAGCTACAATGTGATTCAACTTCTAACATCTTGGTTATCTACCAAATACAGTAATATGCATGGGGTATCCATTTTTTATGCCTCCTGCCTTCAAATATCAAGCTCCTAAATGACAAAGAACGGTGTTCTTGAGAGGACTTGGAATTAGAGTGTTTTAAGGATAGGAAGAGATCTTAGAGGTAATTCGGCCTCTCTCTCCTCATCTGTTGTTAGGAACCCATCTGCAGGATTCCAAGGAACCACTCCATAGACACTTGAGCCGCCGCAGAGCCTGATGCCCACATCACTGAGCCCTTCATTCCACATTCTCCTTAAAACACATTGAGACTCCCTACAGCCGCTATCATTCTTGTTTTTCCTTTGAAGATTTATAGGAAACATCAGATTCCTCTTTCAAAAACAACCCCCAATCTATCTCAAGACAGCTCTCCTGCCCACACGTGCCTTTCTCCAGGACATTTCCTGAAACTTCTCCCTCTCTCTCAAGGTTCATATGGATAGTATCAGCCTAACTGTGGTCTCTGAAGTTCCAGTTTCCAGAGATTAGGCCTCTATGAATAAACCCTGATGTAAGGGCTGGGTAGCGTACTTGCCTCATTTGTGTGAAGCCTTGGGTTCCATCCCCAGACCTCAAAAACAAACCCTAATGTAAATGGCATGATAGGGAGGGGCACCCACCAAGAAACAACTATCAATATAGTCATGCTCTGTGACTACTCACTCCACAGGCTGTTTCTAGTTTCAGTTCTCCTTCCTCCCATTAGAAACTCAGGTGTGCTTTTTCCCAAGTATGACAGGCAGGGCCGGCAAGCACCTCATTTACTCAAGGTTCAGCATGAAATGGAAGAGTACAGAGACTGACCCCACTTTTTCCCAGTATCTACAGTTGCTTTCATGCTTAACCAAAATTTACTCTGGAATGTGTGAGAATTATTTATAGCATGTGTGAAAACACATGCTTTCCAGAGAGAATCTCAGCACCTCTTAAAGAGCAAATCACACTCCTCTACTTTTTTTTTTGGAGGGGGAGAGGGGTACTGGGGTTTGAACTCAGGGCCTTATGCTTGCTAGACAGGCAGTCTACCACTTAAGCCACTCCACCAGCCCTTTTTTGTGTTGAGTACTTTTAAGATAGGGTCTTGCAAAATATTTCCCTGGGCTGGCTTTGAACCACAATCCTCCTGATCTTTGTCTCCGCAGTAGCTAGGATTATAGGTGTGAGCCACTGGGATTCAAGCTCTCTACTCCTCTTTGCAAGTTAAGAATCTGAGGGCTGCTATATAGCTATCCTTATCTCAACCAGCAAAAACCCTTGTTCCTTCCTATTATTGCTTATACTCTCTCTACAACAAAATTAGAATAAGGGCAAAATAGTTTCTGCTGGGTATTGGGGGGGGAGAGGGAGGGGGCGGAGTGGGTGGTAAGGGAGGGGGTGGGGGCAGGGGGGAGAAATGAACCAAGCCTTGTATGCACATATGAATAATAAAAGAAAAATGAAAAAAAAAAAAAGAATCTGAGGGCTGGAGGTGTGGATTGAGTGGTAGCGCACCTACCTAACCTAGCCTTAGCTCAAACTTCAGTACTTCAAAGAAAACACACACATACAAACAAGAATCTGTTCAGTCTCATGAATGAAACCACACTGAATGAGATCACTTGCTTTGGATGGACTAGCATTCATTTCAAAACCACCCATTCAAACTTAAAAGATGGCTAAAGGAGGAGGATGAAGTCTTGGGCTTGCCTTTCACAGACAGATGTGTCTGGGGCATATCTCTTAGCCTCCTGGGCCTGTCTTTATTCTGCAGACCAGTCAGACAAAAGCTTTTAAGCTTCTCCCACCAGAATTTAAGGTCCAGGCAGCAGAGAATAAAACAAAAGAAAACAAAATACTGTATTATTCTGTGCCGTATACCCAATGCCTGGCACATGGTAGAGGCTTAAGAAATACGTGAACAAACCTCCCCCCACTGACTTGCAATGAGTAACAAATGGAACTGAAAGTTATCTGTCAGTGAAAGGCATCAAAGAGAAAACAGGATTATTACTTTTATTAGTGATGCACCTCACTCCAAGAAAATTTGCTTTATTAAAAATCAAAGGGTTGTTTGAGTGGATAAAGTGGCAGAGCACCTGGCTGGCAAGCATGAGCCCTGAGTTCCAATCCCAATACTGCAAGAATAAATAAATATCAAGAGCTGGGGTGTAGCTGAATGACAGCACACTTGTCTAGCATGCATGAGACCCTGGCTTCCATCCTCAGTATCACACGAAAAAAAGATGGGCTGGAGTATAAGTAGTAGAGTGGGTGCTTCACAAGGAAGGCTCTGGGTTCAATCTCTGGTACCAAAAACAAATAAGTAAAAACTAAAAATCAATACTGAGAAGAATCTGGAGGGCAAAATTTACTCTGTCATTCTTGGGATGCCAGGCACTTTGCTCCTGTCATCACAATGTTTTCTTATGGCTCAACATTTTTTCAGTGTCCTGAATTTTGTCACAACCCAATGAAGCAAGTTCTAGAATTAAAACCATTTTAGACATGGGGAAGTGAGGTTTAAGATGAAGAAACCTGCTCAAGGCTGCCTGGCCTCTAAGCAGCAGACAGACCTCGGTTGCAGTCTGGCTGGTAGTACAGTTAGTAGTACACAACAGTAAGCTGCAGTCTGGCTCTCAACCCACATAAAAATGATTCAACAACCTGCTGAATTCTGTATAGTGAGCAGAAAAGGACAAACATCCAGATTTTGAATAATGTCTATTGTAAACATGCCTTGTTTAGAAAATATTTTATATCAAGCACAAAAGAAAAGAACACGGAACTTTGATTCACTATTTCTAACTCTTCAAATTTATTCCAAGGAAAGAAGGAAAAAGCTATATGCTCAGTGGTTGTCTGCAAGATTTTTGTAACATCGGGAACACTGCCCGTGGGAAACATTCCATAAGGGGGTAATTAAGTAAACTCAGGATATGCGTTCAATATAACAGTCAACACTATGCAAAGATGTTTATGAATGATGTAGCAGAAACTGGTAATAATGGTACAATTCAGGCTGGAAAAGAATACAGGCAAGAAAGGTATTCTTTAGTGGAGCTCAATAATGCTGGTGAATTATTTTTTTATTTGTGCATTTAAGTTCTTAAAACACTAAGGGCCAGCTCAGTTGTAGAGCACTTGTGCAGCACTAGCAAAGTCTTCGGTTCCATTCCCAGCATGGCAAAAAAAAAAAAAAAAGGACAAAAAACTTAAAACACTTCTTCCTCAAGCCCCAAAGCCTCAGTTCGCATTTCCATATTCCTTACCAACGCTAAACACTCAAATTACGCCAGTAATAAGAGAACAGATTGGGGCAAAACAGTTCATGTAGAAGATGTGAAAATTACACCTCGGTCCTCCCTAAGACTCTGCAGGGCTGAGTTCTGAGTGGAGTAAAAGCATCCTTTCTTGGGTAAATGTTCGCGACCAGCAAGGCCAGGCAAATTAAAATCAGGGGTTGCGGGTGGATTAGGGATAAGAGATTAGATGCCCTTTTGGGACTCGTGGAGCTGCTTTGCAGCAGGTCCCTTAATTAGGGCTTGACCCCCTCAACGGCGCCTGGGACCCCCGGGGCCGCGCGCCAGGCCCCCGCCCCTCGTCCGAGAGGAAGGAGGGAGAGAGAGACGGCTGGTTGCCAGCGCGAGGCTGGGGTCTCCCTCGGTCCCCGACAGCCGCCGCCAGGACCCGGCCCGACAGCCGGCCGGCGCTGCAGGACTCCACGCCCCGTGCACCTGCACCGGGTATTGCCAGAGTCCGCCAATCCGCGCCGCCACTCGCCGCTGGCTCTCGCCCGCCTACCTGGTCCTGACCCCAGCCCTGGCCCAGCCGCAGCCTCCGCTGCCGAAGGAAGAAAGCGAGGGCCTCCAGACGGCGTCTCTTCTTTGGAGCAAAATGGCGACTCCAGGCGCAAGAACGGCGTCCGCAGCGACAGCGAGGCCTGGGGGCGGGGCGGGGCGGGGCCAGAGCGGGCATCCAGGAGTCACCTGGCTCGGGGCTGTGGGCGTGGCCCGCTAGGGAGAGGAGCGGAACCTTCCGGGTCAGCCTATGGGGTGGGGCCAGGTGGCGAGAGGGGCGGGGAGGAGGCGGGGCCTAGAGCTGGGACGGGGGCATTTGGTTTGGGGCTGTGGGCGTGGTCCGCCCAAGGGGAAGGGATTAGTATGTGGGCGTGGCCAGAGGAGTGGGGTCAGGCTGACACGAGGGGCGGGGCAGGGGCGGGGCAGGGGTGGGGCCACCCCTGTTTGGGCTCGTGGGAGGCAGCTAGTCCCGGGCGGGTTGTGAGAGGACGCTGCGGGTTGCAAGGTTTATGTGAACTGGGTATGAGGTTTGGAGTTTACAGATGTCTAGGTTCAAGTCTTCTCTGAGGCTCTGAAAAGCAGAGATGATATTAGTGCCCATCTCATGGGGTTATTGTGAGGATTAAATGAGATACCTGCAGTCCTATTAGCATGGTTCCTGTCATACAGTAAATATTATCAGTTTGTTGTGTTGTTATTTTTTTTGTTATAATAAAGGAGTCGGTCCTTTTGGTATCCATTGCTTGAAAATTTTATGACTGAGTTATTTATTTATTTATTTATTGAGCGATAGTGTTACCAAACTTGCTTTGAACCCGGGGTCTTTGTCTCGCAATTTTGAAGAATGAAAATCACAGACAATGGGGTGAGCGAAAGAGCAGAGGTTTATTAAGCAGAGAAGAAAAGCCCCCATAGGAGAGGGGTCTCAGAAAGGCTGAATCAGAAGTGACGCTATCAGAAGTTTTTATCCATTTTCTCAAGGCATTGCTCAACTCTCCGCTAACTAGGTGTGCAGAAGGCAGCATCTCGGTTGGCTGTGCCTGCAGCATTCTGATTGGTTGTGCCCTAGTCCTTGTAGTGTCCTCATTCTGGTCCATCCTACTTTTCCTTCTTTCCACTCTTTAAGGTCACAGGGAGGTCATAATGGAGGTTTCCAGGGAAATTTCTGTCCTAGATATACTGTTATTTCAACTAACTGCCTAGCCTACTTGCTCAATAGGGTCTTGCTATCTATGTAGCCCAGACTGGCCTCAAACTCATGTTTCTCCTGCTTTCCACCTTTCAAGTTCTGGCATTACAGACGTGTCCCACCAAGCCCGGCTCAATTCTTTATATATGTGTGTGTATAACATGATAATAACTAATGTATATGTAGCACTTGCCAGCTGTCAGTACTTTCCATTTATTAACAGTAATTAATCCTCACAAGAGATGAGATATGAATTATTATCTCCATTTTAATAGTTGTGGGAACTGAGACAATGGCCTAAAATAACTTTTCCAATGATAAAGCAATGGTGGACTGTCAACCCAGCAGGCCTTGCAGCTAGGTCTAGACTTAACTCTCATGCCACACTGCCTCTCCAATTCGCTTTGGATTTTTCACACGAATGAGGTGTGGAATCATTCACGGGAGGTTGCACAGGCAGCCCCCGGCTATACAGCCCCACCTCTTTACAAAGAACATAAGCACCTCAAATTGCAGGTTAGACAAAGGTGATACTTTATAAAATAGAGTTGTTTGAGACGTTCATTTCCTTTGCCTGACAAATTTATTGGGATATACCTCTTTGCCTATGAGCCCACTGATATATTTGCATTACAGAACTTATTCCTCCTCTGGAGGACCTTTGCTGGCCTAACTCCATCTGCATCTGGTGGAGTCGACTCCATCCTTCACTGGTTGGCATGCGTTTGGAACTGGCCAATCAGGGCAGGTCATCTCTCCCCGCTCGCTGATTCGCTCTAAGGGCAGGCAGCTGAGCCAATCAGAGCTCAGGAGCTCAGGGCTGGCCCTGTGGCCGGAGGTTCGTTGTCTTTTGCAGCTTCTGCTGCTGATATACCAGGAGGGAAACCACCTAAAGATGAAAGAAGAGAAAAGAAGAGGTGGATACAGACTGGCCCCCACGTAGACTAAGCTGAACCCTGAAGTCAGTAGGTCAGTGGAGATGGATTGGTTTCTCTCGCTTGCAGAGTCCTGCTTATTCTCTCTCTCTGCTAACTTCACTGCCTGGTTCTCCACTTCTCCATTCCTGAACAGAAGCCATGCTTGCAGACCCTGCAGGCCTCCCTCCACTTCCTCCTGCTGTCCCCTCCCCAATTAACTTCTCCTTAAACTTTATATCTCAGCACAACTATTACTTTCAAGTATTTTCCAAAGCACGCCCTACGCAAATAAAACTGTTTTTTCCTTGATCCTGTCACAATTTCTAATTAAGTGTTTACACGTTAAGTACCCCTTATCTGAAATGATTTTTTCAGATTTTGGAGTATTTACATATACATAATGGGATACCTTAGGGACGAGGCCCAAGTCTTAACATGAAATTTATATGGTATATACACCTTATACACATAGCCTGAAGATAGTTTTATACAATATTGTTAATTTTGTGTATGGAAGAAAGTATCACTCGTGGTGTAGAATTAAAACTTGTGTTTTAATCAGTGTTCTGAATGTTTTGGATTTTGGAGCATTTTCGAGTTTGGACTGTTGGATTAGGGATACACAACCTGGACTTGGGCAATAATTGGATAAATATCCCCATCGCTAACCATGTAAGCCCCCCAAGGGTAGGCTCTTTGTCTCTCTAGCCAATCACTGTATCACAGTACCAGCAAAGTGCCTGGCATAAGGCCAGTACTCAAAGAAATGTCAAGTGAGTGCCCCTTGCTGTTCGGAAAAGAGATGAGTGGTAGCACAGAATAGGGTATTATTTGCACCTCACAAGGACAATGTTCCTGAGATTTGAGAAAATCTATCTCTCAGACACTAGTACGGCCCTCTAGCATATTCCTGCTTCCAGGGGCTGCAGTGAGATGAAGCACTTTCTTTTCCGTTGCCCTCTCTGCAGGCCCCAAGCTCATACATTCCTTTGCTCTGCAATGCAGCTACCACAGTACTCCTCCTCCATCCGCTTGCATTCTCTGAAGACTCTCGAACCCTTTCATAGGCTGATATCAAATCTCCCATTCTTCCTGTTTTTGGGGTTTAAGTCACGGGAATGAGCCAAGGTGGACATCCAGCCCAGATGGCCCCCCAAGTGACTGCAGCCCCAGCCACCAGCTGACTGCAACTGGATGAGAGACATTGCCTAAGCAAGAGCCACCGGGCTGAGCCCAGTCAAACCAGAGAAAATTGAGAGATAATGATAACATGTTGTGTTCAGGAACTGAGCTTGGGGATACTTTGTTACAAAAATGGACAAGTGCAAAATTGAAAGGCTGCAGGCAATTGTGCACTAGTGCCCTGTTTGGTTAGTCCATTGCTAACCTTGACTCTGTGTGTCTCCACACAGCCCTGGCCATATTCAAGGCCAAACTGCTGCACACAGAGTATGAATCAAGATGTCCACGACTAGGACTTTTCCCTTTGACATTTTTTTAAAGAAAGAAAAAAACTTTTGCAGAATTTGCAACAGAATGAGTCTCCATCTCCTTTAAATGCTGTTGAAATGGAAAAAATCAGGGACACGACTGTCGGATGCTGGGACCAGGGTCGGCTTCCTGCTTCCTTCACATTCTAGAAATAATCTTGAACAGCTCCCATCACTTCTCTGAGCTTTTGTTTCCTCACCTGAAATATGGTCCCTTAGCTGTATAGGGGGGAGGGTGCAGGCTGTGAGGAGGAGGTGCGAGAAGAGAAGAGTCAGTTTTGAAGGCTTCTCCCCACCCCTGCATCCCTGCCCATCAGGGAAGAAAAACAAGGCTTCTGTTTTTCCCCAAGTGGAGGAGGAAAATGGCAGCTAGTCTGGCTGTGGGAGGCAGCAAAGGCCAAAATCAGGTGGCCAGTCAAGGAGCCTGGGAAGTTTTTACTCACTGAATCCTTTCCTCCATCTTCTGGCTTTTCTCCTCTTTCTAATTTTCTGCTAAATGGAAAGAACTTCATTTTCTTTTTTTTTATAATAATATTTACATATTGTAAAAAATCAAGTAAACAAAGAGAAAATTGTTTTTAAAATTAAAAAGATATTTGCCTTGATCTCACCTAGAGAGAAAATTATCTTTGGTACTTTTTTTTTTTTTTTGATGAGACTGGGTTTGAACTCAGGGCTTTGCACTTGCAAAGCAAGTGCTCTACTGCTTGAACCACACCACCAGTCCATTTTGGCTCTGGTTATTTTTAAGATTGGGGGTGGGGGGGTTCTCATGAACTATTTCCCCAGGCTGGTCTTGAACTTCGATCTTCCCAATCTCAGCCTCTCAAATAGTTAGGATTACAGTCACAAGCTGCCAGCACCCGGCTATAAAAGACTCTGAAGAATCAATAGTAAGGTTTCTTCACACCCACTAGGTTGTGCAATAAGGGGAAAATAACAAGTGTTGGTAAGGCATGGAGAAACTGGCACCTTGGACATTGCTGATGGGGGTTGTAAAATGATGCAAGCACTGTGGAGGACATTTTCTTAGATCTTTGAAAAGTTAATCAGTTTATGATTCATCAGTTCTACTCCTAGTTATGTGCCCCAAAGAACTGCAAACAGATACTTTAACAAATATCTGTATCTGAATCATAGTAGCATTATTCCCCAATGGCTATAGGGTGGAAATAACCCAAATGTCTCTCCACAAACGGATTCATAAAATGTGGTTCATAACTAACAATGCGATATTAGTCATCCATAAAAAGGATTAAAATAGGACTGAGGATGTAGCTCAGTGGTAGAGCACTTGCCTAGCATGTGCGTTACACTGGGTTCCATTCCCCACGTACACACACTGCAAACAAACACCTAAACAAACAACAAAAGAATATGCTGATTCATATTGTAACATAAGTGAACCTCAGAAACATGGTGCAAAAACTCACACATATGATTCTGTTTATATGAAATGTCCATTGAGACAGAAAGCAGATTGGTGGTTGCCAGGAGATGAGGGAGGGGAGAATAGGAGTGACTGCTGAAGGGGACAGGGTACTGGTGGCCCACGGCTATAATCCTAGGCAGAGATCAGGAGGGTTGCAGCTCAAAGCC